ACGTCCTGGCTCGAAAGGTGCTACACCAAATGCAAAGATTATGTAATTATTAAAACTGACCTGAGACTTTGGAACTCCCTGCCTCAGTCTCTCCGCCTTGCCCCCTCCCGGTCCATCCTCAGGTCACATCTGAAGACCTTCCCGGCTCGGAATCGAGCTCCGCCACTGTTAAGATGCTATCCCACGTGAAGGGTGGTATATAAATACAACTTAGTGTTGTTAAAATGTAGCAAACAGACCGCTGTCGACAGGTTCTTCAACATCGTTGTTCTGTTCAGTGCTTGAGTGTATGTGTAAAGGGGACAATTTGTTATAGTAACTTTGCTGAGGCCCTCAGAATGGTTAACTACAAGGGGAAAGTACTTTGTTTTTATAATGAAGGCTTTTTAGAATCAGTAGGTGATATCTACATCTAACAATGAAAACAAGCGGTGTGGGGAAGTTGTACTGGTTGACTAGATTGAAACGATGTTCTCCAGCACCCTCTTCTGTTGCTGAAATTGTTCTCGACGTGTATTAGGAGATGCACCACAGTTTTGTACAGTACATACATAAATCTGATGTTCCATACATTTTTAGTCCTTCTTCCATAGATTACTCCAGTGGGTGGATATTCTCGATCCGACAACACTCCTGGCGTCAGACGTAAGTAAAGTTCTTTTGGAAAGCAGGATTGGATGCATAGGACAGTTGGGTGATTGGTGACGCTGTAAATTAATCCAGGGCTTCATATCTTGTGGAACTCCATCCTGCCGCAGTTTATCCTTGCCTTTGAGAATCTGCATGCTTTTTAAATCCCTAACCACGGCTTGCTGACCTCACCTCTCTTCTTTCTCCTACCTTGGAACTGAGGAGGTGGTTCCTTCATCTGCGTTTCTCGGTTGAAAAGGGGAACAAACTTCATGTATTTTGGGGACATCTGAGCCTCAAGATGTACGTGAAGCTTTAATCTCGCTTTTTTCTGCTTCACAAGAAAAATGACTCTTGCTCTCGTAGCAGCAGAACAATCCTCATGTTAGGAAACGTTAAGAGCCAGAGAGAAATAACACGGGCTCAAGCTATTGTGATGCCATCGCAGCATAACCGGTTTGTCACACGATTCACAGAGGCTACAATCAGGACACTATTTTGCAGCCTTCAGCAAAGCTATAAGGAGTCGAGCTTTTATTTTGGCGGGAGATCCCAATGTTTTTCATTGAAAATTGGGTATTTTAAGGTCGGAGCAAAACATGCTCGATACTACAGTGGGAAGAGGGTTGGGATTATGGAAGGATGACATTGATTGGGCTGAAGGCTCTTCTCCAATTGGCGTGATGTTGTGATTCACTTTACAGTATACTCTGAAGTGCTTTGAGACACCTTGAAGATGTGATAAGGCACTATATCAAATGCAGGGATTATTATTTGAAAATGGAGTCAGCACAAAAAGAGAGAAACTTATGATCTAATTCAACGGCTAGAATTGATGTAAGACCGATTTATTATTGTCTCAAGCTTATCAGAACACGCCACGTCTCTGAGCTTTCAAGGCAAGTCTGTGCTTTCCAGATAACAACAACAACAACAACAAGATTCCATTTATAAAGCGCCTTTCACGTCAGGAGGACGTCCCAAGGCGCTGCACAGTTGGGTCATGACCCGAGCAGTGGGGAAATGGTCAGGGTGAGGGGAGGGGAGGGAGCGAGGAGGGGGGAAAATGGTCAGGGTGAGGGGAGGGATGGGAGGGAGCGAGAAGGGGGAAGAGAGTCGAGAAGGGAGCTGAAGGCTCGGTCAAAGAGTAAACACTGAGCCTTATGCAAACCTCGTGAGTGTCATGGATTTTCTCTCTGTGTTCTACGTCAACAGAAAGAAATAGAAAATGCTCAAGCTCCACTACAGGACAGCCAGCGAAATCTGAAGGAGCCGGTGAAAGATGAACAGGTCAGTCTAGTATGAACCCCAAAGGCAATCAAAGGCTGTTGTGAGAAGCCAACCACTTCCTGGAATTTTAGGGTCTGATAACCATTTGGGATTCATTATATTTGTGTGACAGCCCGGTGCAGTGGTAGCACTCTCCCCTCTGATTCAGAAGGTTGTGGTTTAAGGCCCACATCGGGACTTCGAATCACTTAGTCTAAGCTGATGGTCCAATGCAGTGCTGGGGGGAAGGGTGGTGTTGCATTGTCGGTGATGTCGTCTTAGGATAAGACATTAAACCAAGGTCCCATCTGCCCATTCAGATGGATGAAAAAGATCCTGCGGCACTATTCGAAAAGAGAAGGGAGTTTCTCTCTCCCAGTGTCTTGGCCAACAATCCCCCAAATAAAATTGGTCACTTACTCCATGGTTGTTTGTGGGATACAGTTGCTCTGCACAACTGGCTGCTGCACTTCGCCCACAAAATATACAGTATATCCTGTGAGACGCTTTGAGATGTCCCATCGACATGATAAGACGATTCACGAAATGCAAGCATTATTATTGACCGTGCAAATCAAACTTGGTGAAAAATCGTTTTTGAATTTTTCTGTGTGTGTGTGTGTGTGTGCCTTTCAGATTAAAGAGACACGGCGGCTCATGCTGGTAAGTGTTCAGGAATATTTACTATTAGCACGTCAAAGACAGCAGTTAGATAGTGAAGATATGGAGTTTACTGCAAAACAGTAAACTAAGTGATACACACTGGTTATTTTTAAGCATATTGAGAAGCTGCCCTGTAGGAAAGGTCCTATATATATCGGCCAAGAATCTCCTTCAGGAGAAGATTGGAGACCAAAAAAAATCAATGAGGCAGTTCAGAATCATTGTAGCTTTGGGCACCGTATCATCAATGCAAATGGAGCCTTTATTTTTCAGCTACTTACAGCAAATGTAAATGATTGCTTGTAGCTTGGCAATTGTGCCATCTTTGCGTGCTCATGTGATTAACCTAATGCCAGTTTCCTTGCTCTCTTGTTGATCCAGTCTGCGGTTCATCCGGACACCGGCCATTTGATACCGCTAGTTTTTCGACCTCAGGGTGAGTGTTTTTTTAGTTCACTCCTTGAAGTTCTGAAGTAGTTTGCTTAACAATGCTACTCATTGCTTAACGTGAAGTTTGTTATTTTTTTTCTCTCTCCCTCTTCCACCACCAGCATTCATGCCAATTGCTACGCCTTTGGTAAGTGCTCTGGAACACTCTTCCTCTATCCCTCCACCTTGCCCCTTCCTTGCCCATCTTCATATCATGCCTGAAGACCTTCCTATTCAACCGTGCCCACGATCACCTCCCCTTCTCCCCATCTCTGTGTCGTGCTCCGCCACTGTCAAGTGCTCTGGGACGCTACACTGGTGCGGGGCGCTACAAGTTGTTGTTGCGATACTAGAATGAGTGAAAGTTGAGTTTACCAGTTCAGAAGAAAGTCAACAACATTTCCCTCGTCCTCTCGTCCCCCATATCATCTCGAATTTTTTTAGCTCATTTTTACATTTTTAATGTCATTCTACAGATGTTTTTATCCAAATCTAATTTTTGCAAATTATAATCTGCACTGTGCCATTCGTTAATACATTGCAGTTAATAGTCCTATTATATATATATATATCCTGTTTATACTATAGCTTGGCTAGATCTGCCTTCATTGGCATTGATTTTCAGGGATTCAAATTATTTGCACGTCAGGACGCCATGTGCACATGGGACCTTTGAGACAGTTTATTTTCTTGACCAATGCTACTTTACTGTAGTAAGAGGAGTCCTGTAGCTTTGTGGTTAGAGCACTCACCTCGCAGTCGAAGGACCCTTGTCTGAGTCCTGGGCAAGGCGAAACCTTAGGCAAGTTTCCTTACTCCACACGCCTGTTTGCCCAGCAGTAAGTAGGAACATGGTTGTTAGTTGATCGGCGGATCGCTTTTCCGGCTGCTGTGTTTCACCCACAAAATATAGTCAATTCACTTTACAGTATATTCTGTGAAGCGCTTGAGATGTCTTGAACACGTGATAAGGCGCTATATCAAATGCAAGGATTATTATTTTTATGTAAAAAGTGACGGCAGGATGAGGAGCAACGATATTTTAAAGGCAACATCAATGTACGGAGTTAGATATACCCGGTGGTGTTTAGCACCTACAGCACTGGAGCAGACAGTTTCTCTCCCAGCTCTCGGTTGTAGGTCAATTTGTAACCGACTCCAGGTTTGGTAACTTTTCTTTTAACCAAAAGATGTCTGCAGCATTCATTGCACGCCAGTCTCCTATCCCACCCGGTAATCCTAGCTCTCCATGAGGCTGGGTGAGTGCACAGGACCTTCAGAGAGCAGGATCGCACTGCGTTGCTTTTAACTTAGATGTAAATAAGAAGAATCGATCTTAGAAAATAAAAAGGATCGATCTATTTATTTTCATTGTGCTTTTTTAAAAAAGTATCCCAGCTGGGCGCAGAATTGACAGAATCCTTCACTGTAGCAATAAACCCACAAAGTACTCATCACATCAACGTGCAGCCTTAAAACATTCCGATTACCCCGTACACTTTTCAAAAGCGTTCTGCTTGCATTTCAGGTGATCGGTATGCTCCTGCCTCACCGAGGGATGAAACCAGCTTTATTCTGGCAGGTAATGGTGGTTGGCGAGTAATCTAGACCTCTACAGCGATACAGTACATTATCAGTACTGCATGAGAGAAGTCGCTGGGAACACTCAGCAGCTCAGGCAGCATCTACGGAGAGAGGAAAGTGAGTTAACGTTTCAGGTCGATGACCTTTTGTTAGAACTGAGGGATGTTTGCAAGGGAGCAGTTTATAAGGACAAGCAGAGAAGGGGGCGGGGAAAGAAAGACAAAGGAAAAAAATAGGTGGAAGATGATGAGATCAGAGGTGTTGGTGGTTGGTGCAAGACAAAAGAAGGCAATGGTGGGCGATTATAGAAAGAAAAGTTGTGTCTGAGACCCAGAAGTATTTTGGCTTCTGTTTCTGCATGAGAGAGACTGCAAGTCAATATCATAAAGTGGTTGGGGTTTCAACGGAAGCTAGCACCGGGAAATTTGACAATGCAATACAACTTACATTTAGATAGCGCCTTTCACATCAGTACTTGGCATCCGAGCAAGGGGATGGGGGTGGGCAAAGTTGACCAAAAGTGTGATCAGAGAGGTATATCTTGAGTTTACGCACTTACTCTTCAGAAGAGTCGCATCAAGGTTAAAGTCCGGAGTTAGCCAGGTTCAAACTGAGAGGGTTGAAAGAGTTAGAAGGTGAGGGAATGAAGATCGGTGTGAAATGCAGAGAATCAGGAAGTGGGCTGTCCAGTGTTTCAGGTCCCGGATGTCTTGCCTGTTTATTAGTTAAGCTTGACAATAGTTCACTTGGTTTGCTCCGTCCGGGAATAGCGAAGGTCTCTCAATATTCAGAGACAGACATGTTCGACATGATTCAATTACAATTGAATGTCCCTGAGTCAAATCAAACTTTGCACCATACACACAAGTTACAGGGAGACCAAAGTTAATTTACCCTGAATTAATAATCTGCTGCAACACTTCACATAGTTTCCTGCATCCTCCCCTGTTTAGGTTTTAAAAGGCTGTTGGATTAAAAGTTTGGGCCTCCTAAGTAGTTTTCTCCCAGCAAACAGTGAAGATGATGGGAATGTTGGTGTATTCCCAGCTCTCAGTGCAGGTGCGATGCGATCGGAAGTGAAATGCTAATGTTTGGTATTCCATCAAATCCCAAGCTCACAGTACATTCACAGTCACAGTGCAACCGGATATTCAGCTAAAGTAAATAGAGTATGTTATAATGGGGCTGTGCTAAGAAAGAAATCCCCACGATATTGTTTTCAGTTTTAATGAAGTCTGCAAGCAGTTGCTAATGAGGAAGTGTGTGAAATCCTGTAGCTTAGTGGTTAAAGCACTTGCCTTGCAAGCCAGAGGACCGGGGTTCAATTCCGGGCAGGGTGAAATGTTGGGCAAGTTTCCTTACTCCGCACGCCTCTGTTCACCTAGCAGTAAGTAGGAACCCTGTCATTAGTCGATTGGCGGATCGCTTTTCTGGAGGTAATAATCGCTTCAAAGAGAAATAAAAAATTATAATAATTTGGTCATTCAATCCACGACTGTTTTTGGGGCGCTGCTGTGTGCAATTGGCTGCTGTGTTTCACCCACAAAACATACAGTCAATCACTACAGTCTATTCTGTGAAACGATTTGAGACATGTCGAAGACATGATAAGGTGCAAAATCAAATCAAATGCAATGATTATTATTATTAATATCCCATGTTCAAATCCATTCACTCCCTGGCCCTGTTTTTTCAAGTCCTGTCTTAAGGCCTTTTCGGTCGTGCTTACAGTCAACTCCCCCCTCCCCCACGCCTAAAGGCGCACAGTCAGGCTCCGCCATCGTTAAGCGTTCTGAGACGCTGCCCTGCGTGGAGGGGGCTAAATAAGTAGAAGTTGTTGTCTTTATAATATGCTTTTTCTTTTCTCTTTGTGTGCAGTTCCTCTTTCATTCTTACACCGCTGGCTTCAACTCGGTGAACCGAAATAAAACCACCTCTAGAGTGAGTGTGAACTTTGCAAAGAACTTAAGTTTGTATCTCATTCCGCTAAAAATCTGGTAGATCTTATAATAATACATATACATATTTATCAAGAGTATCCTAAGTAAAGGGCATTACACAAATGCAAGTTGATGATGTGTTTTCGTTTAGGATGAAAAGGTTCCTTTAAAGCAAGTTCTACTCTTGGTTGGATCAGTGACCTACACAACCTGTTTAGGGGTGAGTATTCATGGCATTAGGTGTATTTTCAAGAATTGTCTTGATGTGATGTAGGTGGGCTCCGTGTTGCTGGCTTCTTGTTTGTGTTTCTGGCAGAAGAAAGAAATGATTCACTGTCGCTCAAACAGCCATTAAATGCATCTCAACATTTTGCACTAACCTTTTGTTTCCAGAATTTAGTGAGGTAGATTGCTAAAAATCAGAATGTATTTCCTACATTCTGAATGGGTGTTGAATCAAGAAAAGAGCGAGAGGAAAGATGCTTGAGTTTTGCACCCATGTCGTAAAGCCTTCCAAGCTGTTATCCTTAGGCAAGTTTCCTTACTCCACACGCCTCTGTGTACCCAGCAGTAAATAAGTAGGAACCCGGTTGTTAGTCATTTGGTGGATTGCTTTCCAGGGGTAGTAATCCCTCCAACAACTACAAAATTTGGTCACTCAATCCACGATGGTTTGTGGGACACTGCTGTGCGCAATTGGCTGTTGCGTTTTCCCCACAAAATACACAGTCAGAGGCCACGGGGTCTGACATGGTAAGATTAATAGCAAGCTTATAAACACGCAGATCATAGGATAATGGGGTCATCCTCGAGAGGCTCCAATCTTGGCTGTTCCCTAATAATAATCCTTGCATTGCCAAGATTGGCAAACAGCTGGTCACCCCACAGCAGTTTTTGTTTTTGGTCAGCCGGGTGTCTGGAACTCTCTGCCTCAATCCCTCGGCCTTGCTCCCTCCCTCCCCACTTTCAAATCCCGCCCAAAAGGCCTTCCTTTTTGATCGTGCTTATGGTCACCTCCCCCCCACTCCCTCTACCCCTGGCTCGGGGTCAGACTCTGCCACTGTCAAACGCTCCGGGATGTTACCCCGCGTGAAGGCCGCTATATAAATGCAAGTTGTTGTTGTCTTGGCCAATGCGGAAACCCATCACCATGCTTAAGAGCCTCCAAACCAATTCTTTTTTTTAAATATAGGTGTTTCCGCAATTTGTGATGTATCGATATGGATTAAAGAATCCTGGAATACAGAGTCTGTTCAGAAACATTATACCTGTGCCCGTGCTTGGTAAGTAGAACGACTACTGTGCTTGACAAGTAGACCCGGTCACTGAGGGCTCTGGCAGCGAGTAGTCTCCGGGTTAATAAATAAAGAACTGGCTGTGCGATTGACTAAAAAAAATGGTGATCCTTGCATTTGATACAGCGCCTTATCTCATCGTTGAGACGTCTCAAAGAACTTCACAGAATATACTGTAAAATGAATTGACTGTGTGCGGAGTCCTGTAGCGTCCTGTTTTGGTCAGAGCACTCGACTTGCTAGCGAGATGACCTCCCCGACATGAATGGCGCTGTATCAATGTCAATTTTATTGTAATATTGAAGTATCTTGCACGAGGGTTGGGCAATGTTGTTGGTTCCCGCAGTTGCTTGGAATCTTTTCGTTGATCTCTTGTCTGTAATAGCAATCGCAGGAGCTTTCAATGCAGTAGCCGTTCGAGGTGTTGAATTGGAGAAGGGGATTGAAGTCACAGACAGAAATGGGAATGTGGTCGGAGTTTCTGAAGCGGCAGGAGCCAAGGTAAGGAAAGAAAGTATTTCAAATCAACAAGCGGCTGAATTGTCTAATAATTAAAAGTCCATCCTCTGTCATTGTGTGTCATTCAATAATCTGCAGGTGAAAGCACGACATCGATCAATCTCTTTAATTCTATTTGATTTAAGACTTAAGTCATTCCTCAATAGACTTTGGTTATGTCTCAAATAACAACAACTTGCATTCGGATCGCGCCCCTCACGCAGGGTAGCGCTTGACAGTGACGGAGCATGAGGCCAAGCCGGGGAGAGGTCATCGTAGACTTGAGTACGAGTTGAGGTGTAAGAGGAAGTTCTTCAGGCGAGACCTGAAGCTAGGCAAGGAAGGGGCAAGGTAGAGGGATAGAGGAAGGGTGTTCCAGAGTTTCAGCGCTATTTGATCTTTAGACGCGTTTGACTAGTGAGGATTCACTGAAAAACGTTTCAATGCTTCTTCCCTCTGAAGGCAGTGAAGGATACAGCCATTTCGAGAGCGGTGTTAATCGGAACCACAGTAGCTGTGCCCAACATGCTTGGCAGCTATTTGCAAAGGTAGGCAATCTTTTACAGACTCAAGTCAATCCCCTGACCATTCCATTTATATAGTGTGCTTCAGGCGGGGTAATATCTTGGAGCCCTTAACAATGCTGGAGTTTAACGCTGATTGAGCCAGTGAGAAAAGAGAGACGACCATATGCCCGGTCAAAGAGGAAGGTCTTCAGATGCAATCTGAGATCAGCAAAGAGGGGCAAGACAGAGGGATTGAGGCAGGGAGTTGCCAGAGTTTCGGGGGTTACTGGCTGAAAGCACGGCTGCTGATGGTGGAGCGAAGGGGACGAGGGACGTGTAGAAGGCCGGAACCGGCTGATTGAAAGTGGCGGGTGGAGGAGGAGAATAATAATAACTTCCATTCGATACAGCGCCTTATCACGTTTTCAAGACGCCTTAAAACATTTCACAAGAAAATACTGTGTATTTTGTAGGTGAAACCCAGCAGCCAGTTGTGCACAATTGGGAGATCTTATCTCAACCTTTAATCTATTATTTAAATAAGGGTACAAAACCAGCTTTGCTTTTTATGAAAATATTAAGATTGAATGCTTCGTCATTTGATTTTTTTAGGATGAATTTCATAAAGAGAGCCCCATTCGCTCTGGCTCCCATCAGACACATAGCGACCGCGCTGGTATTCGGACTGATGGTGCCGGTTTCCTTCAGCCTGTTTCCTCGGATTGGAAAGGTACGTAACCAGTGTTTAAGACCTTCAGCAGAACTTCTCTGTCCTAATCTCTTCCCACCCCTATGAGTACGTACCATCAGCAATCAGCATTGCTCCAGCCCCATTCAACCAGCCATTCCTTCCAAACCACCTTTGCAAATGTGTAAAGATGTTGCAAATCGAACATAGATTCCAGAGGCTGAAAGAAAGCTGTTTTCTTCACTGTTTCTTCTAAGATCAGTTTCTTCTAAGATTGTGGAGTGGAGTCCTGTAGTGTAGTGGTTACAGCACACGCCTCGCGAGCGAGTGGACCCGGGTTTGATTCCCAGGCAGGGCATAAAGTTGGGCAAGTTTCCTTACTCCACACACACACATGCCTCTGTTTAACCAGCAGTAAGCAGTAACCCAGTTGTTAGTCGATTGGTGGATCGCTTTTCCGGGGGTAATAATCCCTAGACGACATGCACAACAATCTCAATGATCTGTAAAGCACATGAAAGGAGAAGTGATGTGTGACTCTCACTGCCTTAGACGCTCACGCGAACAACTGCAACTTGGTTGGACAAGATCGCAGCGGCCCATCAGTACTCATACATGCAAAAAAAAACTCACAATGGCACTAAACCTTAGCACAAATCGCTGCTTACAGGAGAGCTGTGAGGACAGGGAAGGTGGAACGAGGTAGAAATGAAAGTAAAACAGATACTTAACAGCACAAATCCTTGTTCAACTTTTTGTTTCAGATATCCAGGAGCAGTCTTGAGCCGCTGATCCAGTCGGCCACAACACAAGATGAGCTGTATTACCACAGAGGGCTGTGAAGGACAGTTGCTGACTCAGATTGCATCACAGAGACACATATGGTTTGTGTGGGCACCTCTTGTTAAATGCCGCTACACAGGGAGGAATTCCACCTGGGTATAAATTCACTACGTTGCTGTTTCTGGAGTCCTGCAGCTCAATGGTTAGAGCACTCGTCTCACAAGTGAGAGGACCTGGGTTCGATTCCTGGGCAGGACAAAACATTGGGCAAGTTTCCTTTCTCCATACGCCTCTGTTTACCTAGCAGTAAATAGGAACCCAGTTGTTTAGTCGATTGGCAGATCGCTTTTCCAGGAGTAACACCCTCAAAAATAATAATAATATGGTCTTTAAAAATTCACGACTGTTTGTGGGACACTGCTGATGCGCAACTGACTGCCATTTTACCCACAAAATATACAGTCACATTACAGTATATTCTGTGAAGTGCTTTCAGACGTCTCGAAGACGTGATAAGGCGCTATATCAAATGCAGGGATTATAATTATTATGTTTGTTGCACATCACTGTACGCACATTGGCTGCTGCGTTGGCCTGCAAAACACACAGTCACTGCACTAACAATAAGTCCTGTGAAGCGCTATGAGAGAGATATCTCCACGATGCTGTATGAAATGCAAGGATAATTACCACAAATTCTGTTTGTGGAGCTTTTTGGAGGGTCCAGAATATGGAAATTCTTAAACTGTTAGTTCTTTTAAGAACAGTAGAAAATCGGCTGCAAAGTTAAGACTGAACACAATAATTTGCCAAATTTCTGGACGCTCTGAAATGTTACTTTAAATGTGGACCCAGGTGGAATTTCCCTCCAACAGCTTGATATGAAGATATCCTGGTGCTAAAATTCTATAATCATTTGATGTCCTGGATGGAACGAGCAACGTACAGAGTTAATTTAATTTTACAACACTTTGATCTCAATCTGTCAGAAACCAGCTGTAATTCCTACTGAAGTATTTTCTATCCTGTTTTGTCACTTAACAGTTAATTCATGTTAGCTCATGTAGTTGCAATTTTCGGGACACAAGATATCGTGTTTGATGAAGTGGACCACTAGATGATCGCTGGAAGCAATTTAAATATTACAGTTCATATTAATAATAATAATTTGGTCACTCAACCCAGAGCTGTTTTGTGGGACACTGCTGTGCGCAATTGGCTGCCGGGTTTCGTCCTCAAAACACACAGTCACTGCATTTTACAGCATATTCTGTGAAGCGCTTTGAGACGTCTCAATGATGTGATAAGGCGCTATATAAATGCAAGGATTATTATTATTTTATTATATTATCTCCAAGCACCATTGCACAACTGTCTATTTTGGGGACCAAAAAGATGAGAATCCACAATTAAATGTGGCCACATGTGTTAGAGGTGTGTTTTATTTTGTCCGTCTTAAATTCTCCTGTCCTCTCTTGCAGATGATTGCTTGTTGTGGTGCAGCGTACAGAGACAGTCCTTCAAAGAGTCAATCTCTGTCTGCGAGCCTGAACAGGCAGTGTTGCCGGGTCTTCGACAAGCAGTGGAACGAGTTTGGTCCTGGCATGTATTGCATTAAGAGTCACTGAGTGGAAATCACGAGTGTGGAAACGCTGTAACATATCTTTCCCCTTATCCACTCCCCAGCTACTGGCAAATATATTTTCGTCACATCATCAGCCAACTACCTCACCAGCTTGGAATTTCCCACAAAATCATGTTTTCCATTTAGGGAAAGTGTTGTATTGATCCTGTTCAACTTGATGCAGACTGTAAAGACTGCTAAAATATTGTAAATTAACCCATTGTAATTGAGGAATTGCACCTCATCCAGTGGTAATAAATGCAACTAAGACACAAGTTTGCTTTCCTCTTATTTATTGTCAAAATAGTTGAGAGAAACTATCTCGGATATCTTGTCTACTGTTGTGGTTGTAATACCTGAATATATCTCTTAAACGATTATATTATAATATTAAATATATTAAAGAGAGAGTGTGCGTCACCAACAGTGCTCTTATTTCAAGTGAAAAGTTGCTTACAATTCACAAGTTTTTCTTTCTCAAATGTCAAAAACTATTTTAAATCTGTTGATAATCGTGGAGTCCTGTAGCTCAGTGGTTAGAGCACTCGCTTTGCAAGTGAGAGACCTGAGTTCAATTCCAGGCAGGTCAGGGCGAAACCTTGGGCAAGTTTCCTTACTCCACACGCCTAATAATAATCCCTCCAAAAAACCAAAAACAATAATTAAATTGGTCATTTTCAATCTACGACTGTTTGTGGGACATTGCTGTGCGCAATTGGCTGCCGCGTTCGCCCACAAATATACAGTCAATTCACTTTACAGTGTGTTCTGTGAAGCGCTTTGGGATGTCCTCCCGACGTGAAAAGCGCTATATCAAATGCAAGGATTATTATTATAATATCATTGGGGTAAGCAACTTCCTAAATGGAGTTACTTAGCTCATGTATGCAAATTAACAACCATTATCACTGGAAAAACCTGGAGCTAATGATTAGATTTGCAAAGGCTGTTCTCTTCCTCCATTTTCTCTGAATATTCTCCCCGCTGCAAAATGCAAGGATTATTATTATGTGGCTCCTTTACATTTGGTGCAGCACATTTCACTTTGGGAGGACGTCCCAAAGAGCTTCACAGGATATACTGTAAAGTGCATTAACTGGTCGCACAAAAGCCCATGGATTGAGTGACCAGTTTTTATTTTGGGGGATTGTTAGCAAGGACACCGGGAGCAACTTTACCTCTTTGCCAATATTGCCACAAGATCTTTTAACATACACCTGAACAGGCAGGTGGGACCTCGGTTTACAGTCACGTCCGAAGGACGGCATCTCTGACAATGCAACAATCCCTTCAGCAGTGCATTGGAGTGTCATCTTAGACTATGTGATTCCATGTCCCGATCTGGGGCCTTAACCAACACTTCTGGCTGAGAGGCAAGAGTTCTACCACTGTACTTAGTCCAGAAACCTTTTCCATTGGTAAACATATTGAGCACTTTTATTTTTTTCCCTTGAAGCTGATTGGAGACAATGATCCATTATTCAATTTAAATCCAAAATTTTATTTTTCCAACAAACAATTCTTGTGTGAAAGTTTTCCCGTTTTACCAAGCTCCGGATTATGTGTGCCCAAAACACTGGTTCAAATATATCCAGGCCACATCGCGTTAAATGGTAAATGTTTCAAGTCCCACTCCGCCCAGCTTCATCTAACTTTACAATGGAAAATATTCTTTGGCCCCACAGGGCAGATTCAATGTGTTACGGATAATTATACGTTTAATCAGTTTTACCAAACAGTAAAGTAAATGTATGTGGTTGAAATGGGTGTGTTTGAAACACAGCAAACAAACCTTTGGGCTATCAAGATTGTGCGCTGTTTATTGTACTCTGCGATAAACCGCCTTAACTGAAGCGTGAGCGAATCTGACAGACGCCCTCCCTACAGCCTCCGCACTGCTCTCAATTGTGGAGTTCTGTAGTGTTGTGGTTGTAGCACTCGCCTCGCAAGTTGCATTCCGGGAGTAATAATCCCTTCAAAAAGATTTTTTTTCAAAAAATAATAATTTGGTCACTCAATCCACGCCTCTTTGCTGTGCGCAATTGTCTGCCACGTTTCGCCCACAAAATATACAGGTCAGTTCACTTTACAGTATATTCTGTGAAGCGCTTTGAGACAACAACTTGGATCTATATAGCGCCCTCCACGCCGGACGGCGTCTCAGAGTGCTTTACAGTAACGGATCCCGGGGCCGAGCCAGGGGGAGGGGGAGGAAGGTGACCAAAGGCGCGGTCGGAAAGAAAGGTCTTCAGCAGAGACCTGAAAATGGGAAGGGAGGGAGCGAGACGAAGGGAGTGAGGAAGGGAGTTCCAGAGTCTCGAGGCATAGTGGCTGAAGGCACAGCCGCCAAGGGTGGAGCGGAGGACTCGGGAGGACGAGGAGGAGGTCAGACCCGGAGGAACGGAGGCCACGGGCACTGTTTTGAGGAGAGAGGAGGTCAGCGAGGTAGGGGGGTGCAGAGGAGTGCAGGGACTTGAACACAAGGGAGATGATTTCGAAATCGATCCTCTCTGGGATAGGCAGCCAGTGTCTGGCAAGGCAATGGGTGATCGGGGAGTGGAGTTTGGTGCGGGTGAGAATGTGGGTGGCAGAGTTTTGAATGATTTGGATTTTATGGATGGTAGTGGATGGGAGACCGGCGAGGAGGGCGTTAGAATAGTCCAGCTGAGAGGTGACAAAGGCATGGACCAGAGTTTCAGCGGCTTTTGGGGAGAGGTATTGGTGGAGACGGGCGATCCGTCGGAGGTGGAAGAAAGTGGTGCTGGTAAGGGACCGGATGTGGGGGAGGAAGGACAACTGGGGGTCGAACCTGACGCCTAGGTTGCATACAGGTTCGGAGAGTTTTAGGGGGAGGTCGGGTAGGTGGCGGAGGTGAGAGCCGTGAGATTTTAGACATTGACAAGAGCCAAAGAGTATGGCTTCCATCTTGTCAATGTTCAGCTGAAGGAAGTTTGCGCTCATATAGCCCCTGAGATCTGACAGGCAGCTGACAGAACATCAGGGGACTAGGGGTCGCAAAGAGAGGTGGAAAAGTAGAGTTGGGTGTCATCCGCATACATGTGGAAATGTACCCCATGTCTGCGGATGACGTCCCTAAGAGGGAGCATGTAGATCAGAAAGAGGAGGGAGCCAAGGATGGATCCTTGGGGTACCCCGCAGGTAACCGGGTGAGAGCGGGAGGAGCAGCCATTTGTGCAGATGTACTGCTGGCAGTTTGTGAGTTAGGACTCGAACCAGGCGAGTGCGGTCCCACTGAGGAGGATGACGGAGGAAAGGCGGTGGAGGAGGCTGGCCTGACTGTGTCGAACGCGGCAGAGAGGTCCAAGAGGACAAGGAGGCAGAGGGAGCCCTGGTCACAGATGGAGATGTTTGTGACTTTCATAAGCGCAGTCTCTGTACTGTTGGCGGAAACCGGACTGGAGGGGTTCGAAGAGGGAGTGGGAGGAGAGGTGTGCACGAAGTTGGTCGGCAACAACCCGTTCTAGAGCTTTTGAGAGGAAGGGCAGGTTAGAAATAAGGTGGTAATGGCTTGGGTTTGAGGGATCCAGGGAGGGTTTTTTCAGGAGGGGGATGATGACAGCAGTTTTGAGGGAGGCAGGGACTGGTCCGGAGGAGAGGGACTGGTTGATGATGTCTTCACTTTACAGTACATTCTGTGAAGCGCTTTGAGACGTATCGATGACCTAATAAGGCACCACATCAAATGCAAGGATTATTATTATTATAAATGCCATTCAATACATTATTCTCACTTTGCTTGAGATTTCTTCCAGTTATTGCGAAAAGATGTCAAGAATAGTGATTCCATATATTAAAAAAAATGATTTGGATACAAACAGAATCCTAAACCAACCGTGCATCAAATTAAGATGTAATTAAATATTTAGATTGGCAATAACTAAAAACAAAAAGTGCAATTAATGTTCAGTTACAGAAAACGTGGCATGATGAAGGCGGAGTGGGAGACTCACTCGGTGAATGAATGCAGCGTTGTGTGCAGAAATGCCAACTCTTCCCATTGGAGAACTATGAAAAATTGCTTTGGAAGCTGTGAGATTCTCATCAAATAAAATAAAAGTAACACCAGGTATAACATACAGTAAACAACACTCATTCAATCTGTAAATAGTAGAACTGATCATACTAAAGCATTAAGTCCCTCAAAAATTGGGTGTTCTTCCCAGCTAACCAACAGACCACAACTTACGTACAGTAATTCTATTACAAATCAGTTCCAGACAACCTTCTTGGCCAGGGTCAAACTTTCAGGCAGTTTTTTTGGTGAAGGAATGCTTAAAACATCCTGAAAACGCCTCCTTGGGCCATGTGAGCGTCACTGACTGCTCTCACGTGGTGAGCTGCTGATGTTAATCACGTCACAAGTAGAATCAGTGAATTTACCCAGGATGAGTGGGGAGGGACGGGGAGGGGGAGGTAAGGGGGTTAATTACAGAATAAAAATGGTCACTGGCTCTTTGGCTGTTTGTGGGACATTGCTGTGCACGAAATTGGCTGCTACCTTCCGCCCACAAAATAATAATAATTGTTGAATTTTCACGTCATTGAGATGGCTTAAAGTGCTTCCGAGAATATGCTGTTAAGTGAATTGACTGCATATTTCGTGGACGAAACGCACAGCAGTGTCCCACAAACAGTCAGGGATTTTTTAGTGACCACATTTTGCTTTGAAAGGTATTATGACCCCCGGAAAGCGATCCGCCAATCGACTAACAACAACAAAATTACATTTATATAGCATCTTTCACGTCGGGAGGATCTCCCAAGGAGTTACGGACCCGAGCTGAGGGTTGGGGTGTGGGAGGGGGGGAAAGCAGGGAGATCGAAAGCACGGTCGAAGAAGAGGATCTTGAAGTGGGTCTTGAAGGTGGCGACGGAGGGGGCGAGACGGAGGGACTGTGGGATGGAGTTCCAGAGGGTGGGGGCAGAGTGGCGGAAGGCCCGCCCAGCGATAGTGGGGTGAGCGAGGCGGGGGACATGAAGCAGGCCGGAGCCCACTAAGCGGAGCGAGCGAACAGGGTGGTAGGGGGTTAGGAGGTTGGAGAGGTAGGGGAGAGCAAGACCATGGAAGGTTTTGAAGGTGAGGACCAGGATCTTGAACTGTATCCTCTGTGTGATGGGAAGCCAGTGGAGTCAGGCGAGGATGGGGGTGATAGGGTCACGGAGTTTGGTGCGGGAGAGGACATGGGCTGCAGAGTTCTGGATGATCTGCAGCCTGTGGAGGGAGGAGTTGGGGAGGCCGACAAGCAGTAAGTTTGCATAGTCGAGCCTCGATGTTATGAAAGCATGTCTGAGGGTTTTGGCGGCCTGCGGTGTGAGACGGTGTCGGAGCCTGGCGACGTTGCGGAGGTGGGGGAAGGCAGAGCGGGTTATGGCACAGATGTGGGGTAGAAAGGACAGTTGAGGGTCAAACAAGACCCGAAGGTTCCGGACTGGCTCAGTGAGGTGGAGAGTGTAACCATGGATGGTGATGCTGTCAGCGTCTGAGGTAAGTAGGCGCTGATGGGAGCCAATCAGCAGAGCCTCGGTCTTGTTGATGTTCAACTAAAGAAAGTTATCTCTCATCCAGGTCTTGATGTCTGACAGACATTCTGTCAGGACAGCAGTGGGTCCTGGAGTCAAGGGTAGAGGTAGAGAGGTAGAGTTGGGTGTCATCCGCATACATGTGGAAGTTGACCCCATGTCTGCGGATGATATCACCAAGACGGAGCATATAGATATTGAAGAGGAGGGGACCAAGGACAGAGCCCTGAGGAACGCCGCACGAGACGGTCCGGAGGCTAGAGGAGAAGCCATTTGAGGAGATGAAGTGCAGGCGGTGTGAGAGATACGATCTGAACCAATCAAGGACAGCTCCGTGGAGATTGAGGTGAGAAGAGAGGCAGTGGATGAGGATAGAGCAGTCGACGGGGTTGAAAGGAGCAGAGAGGTCAAGGTGGATGAGGAGGCAGAGGGAGCCCTGGTTGCAGATGGACAGAATGTCATTTGTCACTTTAACCAGGGTGGTTTGTGTGCTGTGGGCGGCACGGAAACCCGATTGGAGGGGTTCGAGAAGGGAGTGGCGGGAGAGGAAGGAACGAAGCTGAGAAGCAACAACTCGTTCCAGGACCTTGGAAAGGAAGGGAAGGTTGGAGATGGGGCAGTAGTTAGGGAGTAGAGAAGGGTCCAGGGAGGGTTTTTTTAAGGATAGGAATGATGACAGCGTTTTTTAAACAACCGGGTTCCTACTTACTGCTGGGTAAACAGAGGCATGTAAGGAAACTTGCCTGAGGTTTCACTCTGCCAGGAACTGAACCCAGTTCCTCTCACTTGCGAGGTGAGTGCTCTAACCAACTGAGCTACAGGAATCCACATTAAAGTATAATAGTTTACACTGATTAAGCTCTCTGAGATGCGTTTTGGAAATGTGAGGAGTGCATCGCCCTGTGTGAGGGGTGCATTATAAATGCAAGTTGTTGTTGGAACAGGAGTTACCCATTTTTTCAATAACAATTGGGGGAAGAATTTTGTTTCTAATGTGCATTTCCACACATATGGGCTTTACAGGATGTGTCACATGCCCCCCCCACCCCCACACACTTTTGAACACAAAGAGAATGAGGCTGACAACTGAGTCAGCAGATCTTCTCGTGACTGACGGACAGATCACTGGTGAGTGCTCTTGAACAGAATGATTTGCTGAGAGACCAGAAACATTGTGTTCAGCTCTGCTCTCTTGCACAAGGTCCTTAAAGAGGATGCTGTCTCTACAAGGATCTTTGTTGATGCGCTGGCACAGTGCCGGCTGGAAAAGGACAATCGAGTCATATCTGAAGCATCTGCTCAGCGGCCGCCAGGTGATACAGGAAGTTTTCGGTCGCCGGTGGGAAGCGACGCTCTTTCAAGACCTCCAGGGTGATGGTGGGCTTCCGATTCTCACCTGACGCTGAGGCCAGGGAGGCCAGATTAGTCAATATTTCTTTGTTTTCAATGAAATTTCCTGAAATAAAGAATGAAAAGTCACATGAAAGCAACAACAAACTGCTTCTGGTGTGGGGTTGGTATCAGGAAGAGTGGAGGACAGGGAGGGTAGGGGGTAGGAGGGTGGCCAAAGGCACCTTCGAAGAGGTGGGTCTTGAGACGGGCCTTGAAGGAGGCAAGGGAGAGGGCGAGGCAAAGGGAATGTGGGATGGAGTTCCAAAGGGTAAGGGGGGGGGCAGAAAATGAGATCAAGCCACTGATCTGTAGCCACTGATCTGGGTTGGACTCCAGTTGAGGTTGATAAATGTGACAAGCTCCTCAATGTCTCCAGGACACTGCCTAGAGTGAAGCACATCCTGCCTCATACCTGGTTCCGTTACCTGCCCTGTGCTGAGGTAGATGTTCTCAGCCAGGCAGCAGCAAGACCACGACAATTTTTATTGCTGTGCAGAAATTGGCCAATGCGCTCGCTTACACCCACAACAGGACCTACCTACACCTTGTAAGAAAAAGAACTCTTCCGAGATGTTTTGATGTCGCTGGCACCTTAACAAGGGCAAGTTCTTTCACGAGAGGAGAAAAGATTGAAGAGAAAGGGAGCAACAACAACAATTTTGCATTCATCTAGCGACCTTCACGCAGAGTAGGGTCCTGGAGCATTGACAGTGGCAGAGTCTGACCCCGAGCCAGTGGAAGGGGGGATGGTGGGGTGGGGGGTACGGGTGGTGGGAGGTGACCGTAAGCACGTTTAAAAAGGAAGATCTTCAGGCGGGATTTGAAAGTGGGGAGGGAGGGGACAAGGCAGAAGGATTGAAGGAGAGAGTTCCAGAGTGCAATGGCTGAAGGCATGGCCACCAATGGTGGAGTGTACAGGATGAGGGACAAACAGGAGGCCGGAACACATCATGCGGTAAAAATAATGACCGTTTCGGAATAAATTACCTTGATGACTTGACTGTCTGATTTGTCTGGGTCATCAGCTAACTGGACAATGAGTTGGCCGATGTCCTTGTGCAGTTTACCCATTGTCATTGCCTCTGCGGTGGAGAGAGGGAAAACATTTCTACATCAGAAGCGACAAGAAAAAACGCGTTTAATTCTTTACTCAACGGACACAAGATTTTCCTGGCCATCGACAATATAACTGTCCATCAACAGCTTGACCGTGCTAAGGAAGAGGATGGTCCAATTTTTAATCAGTTGGGAGGGAAATGAAAAATGTGAAGCTTTATTGCACCGTTTATTTTAATATGGTGATAAACACCATATTAAACCTGCTATGAAACATCGTATTTTTCACCCCAACATGTGACTGTCGTCATCACACATCAATGACTCACTAACGCTGTTGCTCCCAACAATGGCTATTGGTATATACAAAAGATCTAAAACGGAACACAAAGTACACGTTTAATCCACTTTCGGTTGTATGATGTGAAGTGCTTTGAGACGTCTCGACGACGTGATAAAGCAATAACCCAAATGCAAGGATTCTATATGATACATTCTGCAATAGACACACTCTGTAGATTGCAATGGACATCAGAGGCCCCAAATTCCGCCTTGTCTTAGTTTTTTTTTAAGATCAACAACAACAACTTGGGTTTATACAACACCCTTCAAGCCAGATGGCATCTCAAACCCCTTTTGTCTTACAATTTAAGTTCCTACAGAACTGCGCAACAATTCTTAAATTCAGCCTTAATTTGGAATCCAGGTTGTAAGGACGTGACTGTTCTCACAGTTTCTGAGATCTATATTTCGGACTTGGTGTGACCTCTCCATCACCAGGTAGAGAAATAACTGTTCAGTCGCCCGATGCAGCAGCGATACCTTTAGCATGTGGACTAACGTTGATCTCACTCTCCAGGAGATTCACAAACACATCGTACAGGTCTGACCGGTCAATCACCTTTACGTCTGTGAACCCAGCGACATAACCTGCGTGAGAAACAGACACAGATATTGTCATAGCATGTCACAGCTCAGAAACAGGTCATTCGTCCTATCAAGTCCACGTTGGTGTTTTTCTCCACCTCAGTACCTTCTCAATCCCCCCACAACTTTAATATTCCCTCTTCCTCAACCTAGCACCTGGATGATCACTTTCCTTTGGGTGTCAGTCGGTAGCACTCTTGCCTTTGAGCCAGAAGGTTGTGGGTTCAAGATCCATGTAGGGCCTTTGAACTCACAGTCGAGGCTGACACTCCAGGGCAATGCTGAGGGAGCGCTCGATTATCAGAGGTGCCGTCCTTCAGATGAGACATTAAACCAAGCTTCTGTGTCTGTGTCTGTCCAGGTGCAAGTTAAAGACTCTCCAGCACTATTTGAAAAGAGAAAGGAGTTTTTCCCCCTATCTCCTGGCCAACAATCCCCCCAGATCAAATTGGTTGTTGTTTGTGGGACATTACTGTGTAACGTTCTTACCTGTGCAGGTCTTTAAAGCATCCAGTTCTTCATGGTTCAAATGAACGTAAGGGTGAAGTATTGACCAGTCCTTTCTGTGCCAGATTAGTGTTGGTAAAGTCCTAAACAACAACAATAAAAATTCATATTCTTTTTATCTTTCACACACTTACAGACTACCTTTTATCAGACCTTTCACAGTGGGAGGACATCCCAAAGCACTGACTGAGAGCCTGAAATGAGTGTGGGGAAGCGGAGAGAAAGCACAGTCAAAAAGAAAGATTTAAAGATAAATAATAATCCTTGCATTTGATGCAGCGCCTTATCATGTCTTCCAGACGTCTCAAAGCGCTTCACAGAATATACTGTAAAGTGAATTGTAAAGTTGTGGCTGGTTCCTGTGTGTGGTGCGTTTACCTGGTGAACTCTTGCAATGCTTCTATGCGAGGGTGGTGGACGATAATTCTCTTCTTTAGCATCAACGCGGTGTACAGGATAATGGTTTCCATTCCAAACTGATTTACTACGTCTGAGATTAAAAAAAAGGGAGGAATAAGCGGACATTGTTTTTTTAATCCCCCCCAGTACAAAGTATTTATAAATTAGATAAACTTCAGGCTTTGTGGATTTTAAGAGTGGACAGAAATGGGCGCTGTCACTAGCATGGGGTCCAAGTGAAACAGCATCAGCCTGAGATTTATTTCTCTGTATAAAACACGGCTGTCCCATCATTTATCCAGCATGGACTAGTTGGACTGAATGGCTTGTTTCCGTGCCGCAAAGAATTATAGAAACCCCAGCAGAGATAATAATAATAATAATCCTTGCATTTGATATAGCGCTTTTCACGTCGGGAGGACGTCCCAAAGCGCTTCACAGAACACACTGTAAAGTGAATTGATTGTATATTTGTGGGCGAACGCGGCAGCCAATTGCGCACAGCAATGTCCCACAAACCGTCGTAGATTGAAAATGACCAATTTATTATTGTTTGGGGGTTTTTGGAGGGATTATTATTAGGCTCTGTGTGGAGTAAGGAAACTTGCTCAAGGTTTCGCCCTCTGCCTGGAAAGACACAGGGCACAGAAAAAGAATTTGCAACTGTCCACGCTGGTTCTATTTCCCCACTGGAACCACCTACTCGAATCGCATTTCCCTGGTCGTTCCCTATAGGTTATGGCCTTTCCCACCATTATTTTTGAAGTGTTTTATTTGTTGTGATAGAAATACAAACCGTGCCATTGTTCATAGAGACTCCAATTATTTTGCCCTATATCCCTTGATACTCTGAGCTAACAAATAGCTATCCACCCCGTGCTCTAAGACCCTATATAAGGCCTCTACATAAGTGCAAGTTGTTTATAATAGAGGCTTTAGCACAAAAGCCTACTCCGGTACTCAAAGTACTGTATAATGTTTTGCCTTTACCTTTGATGGATCCTGCAAGGTAAGCCTTTTTGGTGTCGTAGTCCTTGACAAGAAACGACCCATTCTCCTCACTTTGACAGATGCCTTTAGTAAGGACAGAAATGTAACTCTCCATCATCTTGGCTGGGTTGCCATGTTTCATGTATATCCTTCGAACGAATCAAAAAATTATTGTTGACATAATATATATATATAATATATACACACATGTGCCTCTGTTTCCCTAGCAGTAAATAGAAACCGTTTGTTAGTCGATTGGCGGATCACTTTTCCGGGGGTAATAATTCCTTTTTAAAAATATTGGATCAATCAATCCATAGCTGTTTGTGGGACGCTGCGGTGTGCAATTGGCTGCTGCGTTTCGCCCACAAAATATACAGTCAATTCACTTTACAGTATATTCTGTGAAGCGCTTTGAGATATCTCAATGATGTGATAAGGCGCTATATTAAATGTAAGGACTATTATTATATATATGTATATAATGTGCAGTATATATATAATATGCACCCAAAAGTATTATAAGACAGAATGAGTCACAAAGAATGGCTTTTCCTAAAACCATTTGTTTTTAACTACAAGAGTAGTGTTCACTCAGCCTGTTTCACAGTCCCCTGCCTCCCCACCTCGCTTTGCCCCAACTCTCTGGAGCTCCATCCTAGAATCCCTCCGACCTGCTCCCTCCCTCACGTCGTTCAAGATCTGTCTCAATCTTACCTCTTATTGGAGTCGGAGCCTTTGTGCAATTTATAATGGCACACGTTGCCAAAAGCACTGTGAGCGACGGCAACTGGAGTTAAGCGCTCTAGGACTCTACCCTGCATGAAGGGCACTATATAAATGCAACTTGTTGTTGGCGTTGTTGTTGTTTTCCAGCCCTTTGGAACTTACCTACATAACACTCTGCCAAATGATGCATACTTCTCTGGGTTGTAGTCTTTGGCAGTTAGCACGAGAGAAAAATGAGTCACCTATGAGGAAAGAAAGATCAAATATCAGCGTCACCCAGATTTGCACCACTGTCAAGATAAAAAAAACGGCATATGTTTCTACATCACTTGATTGTTACAATTCCGTCACAGGTTTCTGTCAAAGTGCTGCAGAATAACACTTTAAAGCAAAAAGGTCGCAACCTTAGGCAAGTTTCCTTGCTCCACACTCCTCTGTTTACCCAACGGTAAGTCGGAATCCGGTCGTTAGTCGATTTTTCTGGGAGCACTAATTCCTTCCCAAAAAAAATTTGGTCCGTCACTTATGACTGTTTGTGGGATACTGCTGTGCGCAACTGGCCGCCGTGTTTCGCCCACAAAAAACAATATGCCCTGTGAAGCTCTTTGAAACGTCTCAATGGCATGTCGTGGAGTCCTGTAGCTCAGTGGTTAGAGCACTCGCTTTGCAAGCGAGAGACCTGAGTTCAATTCCAGGCAGAGGGCGAAACCTTGGGCAAGTTTCCTTACTCCACACAGAGCCTAATAATAATCCCTCCAAAAACCCAAAACAATAATAAATTGGTCATTTTCAATCCACGACTGTTTGTGGGACATTGCTGTGCGCAATTGGCTGCCGCGTTCGCCCACAAATATACAGTCAATTCACTTTACAGAGTGTTCTGTGAAGCGCTTTGGGACGTCCTCCCAACGTGAAAAGCGCTATATCAAATGCAAGGATTATTATTATATTATTATTATAAGGAGCTATATCAAACGCAAAGGTTATTATTATCGTGCTATATCGAACACAAAGATTGTTATTATCGGTTGGCAGAGGCATTATTCAGGCTTAGATGGTGTATTGCCCTGGTTCGGCCCAGTCAATAGAAGAAGGAGAATAAAAGAGCCAGATTCGTATTTAAAACCGATGTACCTTTGACAATGCAGTGGGGTCCTGGACTTGTGTCGTCGTGATATAATACCACGTCCTTCTGAACTGGCCAAACACAAAGGTGTGGAGGACATTGTTTTCATCGGTGAGACAACACTTCCTTAAGAGTAATTCTCGGAACTCTGCTGTGATGGTGGGATAAGACCAGACCCACAAGGCATCGCCATTTGTATCTTTTTCTAAGCAGGAAAGATTTTGACTGTGAGAGTACGCAATGGTCAGCATTGGAAGTTAGTGCAGAAGGTTATAACCTGATAACCACCATTTCTCCGTTGATCAATACAGCAACAACAACAACAACAAGATTCCATTTATAGAGCGCCTTTCACGTCAGGAGGACGTCCCTTATTAATACGAATTAATAAGCCAGCGATTAATATAAATCATTAACCGGGGGGAGGGAGGGGACCCTTCTTTACAGGGCGAAACGTGGGGCAAGTTTCCTTACTGCGACACGTCTCCGTTTACTCAGCAGTAAGTAGGAACCCAGTTGTTAGTCGACTGGCGGATCGCTTTTCCGGGGGCAATAATCCCTTCGAAATATATCGTATCCCGTGAAGCGCTTCGAGACGTCTCGGGGGACGTGATAGGGCGCCGCATCACATGCAAGGATCACCATTCTTCTTATTAAAATCGTTAGCCGGTGATCATTATAAATCAACGACTAATAGCAAGTACAGATCAATAACCGGTGCCGCTCCTTCGCTCAGTGAAAACCATTCCATCAAATGCAAGGAATTATTATTTAGGATTATTTTTGGGGGTCTGGCAGCTCCTGATGCTGAAAATACTCAATGAATTTGCTCTGATCCCACTGACTGTGTGTGTGTGTGTGTGTGTGAGAGAGAGAGAGAGAGAGAGATCAGATCAGGGCCCTCAATCCTCGACACATTCCTGCAGATTTGCCCTAAACAGGAAATATTTCCCCCAAAACAAGCACAACAAAGTGCTACACATAAACCTTTCTCTCCCAGATGGATACAATACTTTTGTGCAAATAAAACAACTCCTTGCAATCACGTAAATATTGTTTTTTTTTGTTGCAATAATGTACATTTTTTTTTGCTGCAATAATGTATCTGTTTTTTTTTTGGGGGGGGGGGAGGGGATTCCTGGCCGAGAGCTAAACCAGGAAGAAACTGCATGCATTGCAAACTTCGCTGGTGTGGTTTCGAAACCGTGGGGGTGAAATAAATGCACATTGCACAGTTCAAGCTCACTCACTTGCTTTAAATTGCTAAAGATATAGATGTATTCCTATTTTTGCAACCGACTGAAGGGAACCAGGAGCAAATATTAGGTACTTACCGACCAGTCCCACACTCTGCATCAAAGGCAATGCAGCCATTGCTTGGCTTGTGCTCCACAGTCACAGCTAAAGCTCTCTCTTTCTTCCTTCCTTCTTCCTTCTTCCTTCCTTCTCTCTCTCTCTCTCTCTCACTCACTCACAATCCGGGTTGGCAAAGGAAACTCCTTCTGCACCCACATCAAACCAATCCAATCAGATCCAAACCAACATAAATCAAATTGAAAGCAAAATTAAGTTACTTATTTTTAAAAATAATAATAATAATAATAATTCAGTCACTTGGATCCACGGCTGTTTGTGGGGACGCTGCTGTGCGCAATTGGCCGCCGCGTTTCGCCCGCAAAGTATACAGGCACTGCGCTTTACAGTATATCCCGTGATGCGCTTTGAGACGTCAAAAAGACGTGATAAGGCTCTTCCCAACTGATCAGTTAGTATTTATAATAATAATTTATATAAACGGAACAACACAACACTCTTGGTAAGAACCTCTCAGGATTTAATGTCAGACTGAATTGAATTTACCAGCAATTGTATTACAATGTATTATTTCTGTCCATTGTATTGCAATATTTTTCTAACTATAGCGTTACCACCGTTGCAGAATTAACTGCGGTAACTCACTGGATTTGATATTGTTGCAATGTAACAGGTAATGTTTCTTACCAATATCATTAGATTGTCGCTGACTTCATTAAGGTAACATACCCTCATTAATCTAACTTACTGTGACTGCAACTAACATTAATATTATATTATACATTTCCTACTTACTCGCGGTAACTAGAAACCCGGTTGTTAGCCGATTGGCGGACTAGTTTTCCGGGAGTAAAACTCCCTTCGAAACAAAAAATCAATTTAAAATAAAAATAATAATTTGGTCACTTCGATCCACGACCGACTGCGGGGACGCTGCTGTGCGCAATTGGCTGCCGCGTTTCGCCCGCAAAAAAAATACACAGTCGCTACGCTTGACTGCGTATCCTGCGAAGCGCTTCGAGACATCTCGAGGACGTGATAAGGTACAACATCAAAATGGAAAGATTATTATTATTACTATTATTATTCAGACTACCGTCGGCAGAGCGAATAAAAGTAATAAAATCCTTGATCGATATGATATAGGAACTATATACACGAAATGTAAGAACTATTACGATGATAGTGTCATCATCATCCATGTTATTATTATAATAGTAATAATGCTATATTATATATAATAGGGAGAGGGGGAGAAAGGGAACTGCGCGCGCAGGACGTGCCTTTGATTGACAGGAGGGTGGGTGGGAGAAAGGGAGCTGCGCGCGCAGGACGCGCCTTTGATTGACAGGAGCCGGCGGGCCGGGGGGGAGAAAGGGAGCTGCGCGCGCAGGACGCGCCTTTGATTGACAGGAGCCGGCGGGCGGGGGAGAAAGGGAGCTGCGCGCGCAGGACGCGCCTTTGATTGACAGGAGCCGGCGGGAGGGAGAGGGGGGGGAGAAAGGGAGCTGCGCGCGCAGGACGTGCCCTTGATTGACAGGAGCCGGCGGGAAGGAGGGAGGGAGGATGTCACGTGACGCGCCGCTTCGCCCTCCATTTTGAAGCGGTTGTCGGCAGCGGCACTCACACACACACACTCACACACAGAGAGAGACAGAGAGAGAGGGAGAGAGGGGGAACAGGCGGCTGAATCTCGGCCGCGGCAGCCAACGAGCAAAGACAATGCCGGCCTACTTCCAGAGGCCCGAGAACGCCCTGAAACGGGCTAATGGTGAGCGACGTGGGGGAGGGGTGGGGGAGGGGAGGCCATATGGCGGAGCCAACGTGTGTGTGTGAGAGAGAGAGAGAGAGAGAGGGCCTCAGGCCTCACACTAGGCCTCTCCTCGGCACATGGTGCCTTGGCAATGGGCGCTCTCGCTCGGGCGCTGCTCGGCCTTTCCCTCCAAATCTCCCCCCCCCTCCCCTCCCCGCCGCCGCCGCTGAATTAACCCTCGACTCCCATCAAAGCCTTTTCTTTTTAAAAAAAACACGTAGTCACGAAGAGAGCAGATTTCTCCTTTCTTCCCTTCCCTCCTTCACTCTCTCTACTGCCTCCTTCCCTCCCTCCCTCCCCCACCCCGCAGTTTGTCTGTCCTTTATAAAGTATTTGCAAACCTCCCCCTTTCTCGATGTATATATATATATATTTCACCCACAATATATACACATACATCCCCTTATACACACACACATATGGTATAGTCTGTGAAGCGCTTTGAGACATCTCCCAAGACCTGATGATCAGGCGTTATATCAAAACGCAAAGCATTATTACTATTTAAGTTAAACATATTCGGTTGTTTTTGGTCGGTTATTATACATATGGAATATCTATGATACGTCTGTGGACGATAGGTGTGTTTTAGGTTGTTGTATTCTTAGTGGGTCTGTGTGTTGGGGCGGGGGGGGGGGGGGAGAGAAGAGAGAGGTTAGAGGTTTGCACCCTTTCTTGGGGGTGTAGGGTGGGGGCTGACTGGTTTGGAATCGAGGGGATCTGAGATGAAGCAGAGCCCGTTCTTGGCGTCCCGCGGCTTCCGCCTTCAGCATCGTGTACAATTCTGTCTTTAACACGCACGGAATTGTAATGACTACTGCCCCTTCTCTCTCTCTCTCCCCCCCCCCCCCCCCCCCCCTTTGTATCTTTGCTCAAAGTTTTGAAATCTATTTATCTTTCTCCAGCGCGCTGGCTTCTATTTTTTTCCCTTTTAGCTGCTGCCTTTTTTTCCTACTGATTGATGTGTTCTTTTAACCTTACTTTTATTTGGAAGGAGGGGAAGGAGATGATTTTCTTCGCTCTTTCCCTCCCTCCTTCTTAACTCTTCCCACCACCCTCCCTCACGCACATAAACACGTACACAGAGCCCTGACTCTTGGTAAGATAATGATCCCTCCAAAACAAAAAAACAGTAATAAATTGGTCATTTTCAATCCACGACTGTTTGTGGGACGCTACTGTGCGCAATTGGCTGCCGCGTTTGCCCACAAATATACAGTCAATTCACTTTACAGTATATTCTGTGAAGCGCTTTGGGATGTCTAGAAGATGTGAAAAGCGCTATATCAAATACAAGGATTATTATTGTTAAGATACAGTGCCACAAGTGCTCTCTGCCCTCCCCCAGGCAACTTAATCATTTAGTGAGGCAAAGGCGGGCGTTGTGTTTGACATCCATTCTTTCTAACGGAGATCACTGAATAGGGGTCATAAATACAAACTAGGGTGGATTTTTTCCCTCTCCTTCCTCCTGATCAAATGTTCAGCGCAGTTTCAGGCCCTATCTAGTGACCTGGTTGAGATCAGCTGATTCAGCCCACCCAGGTATACTCAATAAGCCATTAGTGGAAATTTTAATATTTTGAGAGTTGCAATTGTTGTATCATGGCAGTTTGAGTGTAAACGTAAATAACAGTGAGCCACGGTTGAATGAAACTCAAGGTATGCACTTATCTCAATGTTTAGGTCATTTTAAAAACTGTTTTAAAGAATTAATGTGAGTCTTAAAATCCTGCATATCTAGATTATGCATATTTTAGATCAAGTGAAATTATGCGATTTGGGGGTTATTGAAGGAAAGTTTGAAATAAAAATGACACTCGTGTAAGGTTGCTCTGGGTCAGAGAGAGGTGGCAAAATTATGCGGGAAGTAAGTTGTAACAAAAATAAATTGCATTTATATAGCAATTTCATGTTGGAAGGATGTCCCACGGCATTGGACATTGAAAGGTTTGCACCCGAGTTTGAGGGGGTGGAAGTGCATGTCTTAAAGCATAGTCAAAGAGAAAGGGGTTGAGATGAGCCTTGAAGGAGGCAAGGGAGAGGGGAGAGGCAAAGGGACTGGTGGAGTTGCAGAGGGTGGGATTGAAAGGCTGAAGGCTTGACCGCAGAAAGCAGGGCAGCGGATATGGAGCAGCCCAGTGTCTTCCAAGCGAAGGGAGGGGAAGATTGGTAAGGTTTTAGCAGGGTGCAGAGGTAGATAGCGGCAAGACCATGGAGGGCTTTAAAAGTGAGGACAAGTATCTTATATTTTATCCTCCGGGGTTCGTGGAGATGGGAGTGATAGGCTCATGGTGCTTGATGTAGGAGAGGCACACTTACACAACTATTAGCTTCATTTCAAAGCAAAATGAAAAATAAACGTTGCCATTTTATTTTGAAATTAGGCTAGTAAGTGTGTCCATAATACTTCAGATTAATGGGGGTAAAAGAATAATAATCCTTGCATTTAATATTGCGTCTTGTCACATCTTCAAGACTGTAAAGTGCAGTGACTGTGTATTTTGTGAGCGAAACACAGCAGCCAATTGCACGTTTAAAAGATTTAAATCTTATTTAGACAAATGCATTAAAATATTTTTGACCTTTGATACTGTTGAAAGTAGCTTTTATTTCCATGTTAAACACGTCGTCTCCTTGATTAAAATGAGTCTGACAAAACAAAAACTTCAAGAACTTTTTATTGTTAGCATGCTGTGATTGGGGGCCCTGTAGCTCAGTGGTTAGAGCACTGATCTGGGTTTGATTCCCATCGGGGTGAAACCACGGGCAAGTTTCTTTGCTCCATACCCCGGATAATAATCCCTCAAGAAAAAAAACAATAAATTGGTCACTTCAATCCATTTCTGTTCGTGGGTCACTGCTGTGCATGATTGACTGCTGCGTTTTGCCCACAAATATGCAGTCAATTCACTTCACAGTATATTATGTGAAGCGCTTTGAGATGTTTAGAAGATGTGAAAAGCTCTATATCAAATGCAAGTATTATTATTAGGCACTGTGTGGAAAACCTGCATTCAAAGTAACAAATACTTATCCCCAGAGAGCTGCCTTTTTCTATTTGTATTCCCAGTATGCTAATAGCTACCCAAAGGTATTTTGATCCAATTTTTGTCATTTTATATAATGATAAATGTAAAGGCATGATTTTACATCTATGGCCGCTACCACAAAGAGATTAGCTATCTTAACAATTTACATTGAACTGTGCATATTGAACTTTACTACTATATTTTTGCCCACATAACATACAGTGAATTCACCTTACAGCATATGCTATGAAGTGCTTTGAGACGTTTCAAAGGTGCGATGAGGCACCACATCAAATGCAAGGATTGCTATTTCTAAAATGATACATTTAATTCAACAAGGGTTGATTGCAGCCTTTATGGATGGAAATAAAACAATAAAGTTTCTTTTGACTTTATTTGAAAAATATTACTGCGTTGTTTGAACTGACTTTAATAATTGCTTACAATAGCAACTTTAAATATACAATCTTATGGCATTGAGTCTGTCAGTTTGTTGGTTTATTGTAAAAGTTTTAAAGACAAAATTTGTCCAGTCAAATTTATTTCTGGGTGGCTATGCTTGAAGAGTACTAAAGTGTGAATTGATGGTTTGCATATATGCAAATTCTGGTCCTTAATTTACTTAGATCTGATTTATTTTACCGAAAGACAGTACATTTTTAAAAGTTCTAATGGTGAATGTTTGATTACAGAATTCTTGGAGGTTGGCAAGAAGCAACCTGCTCTTGATGTCTTGTACGACGTAATTAAGAGCAAAAAGCATCGAACATGGCAGAAAATTCACGAGCCGATCATGCTGAAGTACCTGGAGCTATGTGTGGATCTTCGAAAGAGCCACCTAGCAAAGGAAGGGTTGTATCAGTACAAGAACATCTGCCAGCAGGTAATTTACCACTCTGGACAAACACTTGAATTCCTTTAGTGTAAAGGCAAACTCAGTGTAATGTTAATGCAAGGCTATTTGTTTGGCCATCATACCAAATTTTCACGAGCTGACAATTACCAGCAACAACTTACACTTTGGGTTATATAAATACTTTGTTATAGGTGCAGTGGTGACTCTGATTTTCAATACTAGGCTAGTGTTGCTGATCTTTTAACTGTTTCTTTCATGTTTTGCAAATGAAACTTAGTTTTAATGTATGCAAAGTAATGTTTGGTCATAATCAAAAGCAGCCTGGTCTTTACAGGTTTGGCAAATATTATTTCAGGGATCAGTGGTGGTTGGGGAGGGGGCGGGTATTCAATGTTTCATATAGCGTCCTTCCTTTGAAGTATACCAGTAGTTGGGGTTTAAGTGCGTCGTGACTCTCATGGAGCACTGGATATAAAGATGAGCTCTGAAACTATTCATTGTACGACTGCCTTGTAGAGCATTCTGAGCCCCAGCAAAGGTCAGTCAACAGCACTGTTCTGAGTGAGTTAGGATTCTCTTTTGTGTGTAAAACGTAGAACATATAGTCCTTAATGGTGATGATAACAAAGAGTAAAATCTGAAATGCAAACACATCACTTTCACTGATTGGTGCTATTGGACTGTAGTGAATTGTGGAACTTATTATTCGTTCATTCTATTCAATCATTGTATACAGTATCTTTATAATTGTGTGTGTGGACTGCTGGTATGTGCCCAGTCTGTGTGGTAACGTTGTTGTGCTAATCACGTGTATATAGGCATTGATTGCACTCATTATAGGAAGTGTCTGCAGTTTAACTATGAAAACTTTTTAAATAATCTGTCCTATTAGTTTGGACCAGAGTGTTTTTTTCCTTTTCATTCCCTCTTTAAAATTGATACAGAAACTTTATTTTTTTGAATTAACCTATAGAATTTGGTTTTGTATTCTCCTTTTTCTGTGTCCTGTACTACTGTTTTTCTTGTACCTTTATGCTCTGTAGATTACTAGGGCAGGATTCTCGTATAGTTCAATACAAAACTCTGCTGTCTTATTCTTATAAATTCGTTATACAAACAAAATTGCATGGCCTGTTCTGCCTGCTTGGTGCCATCTATTCACTTTTTACTGTAGAAAAACAGAGTTGTGTTTCAGGTGAATAGAAAAGCATACCTCTCTTAACTTTCTGAGATAACCAGCTTGCCTTCTTTCTTAAGAGTAAATTGAATCCTGTTGCCAAGTCCCCGGGTAATGTTTCCAGCTCATTTTGAAAATGTTTAGTGCCTTTTGCATTACATTTCACTTTTCAATTGTCTTTTCTTTTGTCTAGGTCATCAGTTATTAATTCAGGAAATCTGCATTGAATAGCCAATTGCCTTTAACATTAGGGATTTTGAGTTTCCCTCAAATCAGTGTCAGGAAGTAATATTTTCCCATGCTGCTGGCCATCTAACAATCCTGGCGGGTGATTCACTCCCTCTGTAACCCGTAAATGTTGTGTTGTGTTTCTGGAAGGGAGACAAAAATATTGCTTACGTGACCCGCAGACATTTCTCAAATAGGACATCTGGCTCTCAGCGGCCAAAAGTTTGGACCACCATGATTTATGGTGATGGGGGTATTGTGACTTGAGTGGAATATGAACTATGTTTATTTGTTGTTGTTGTTGTTTGTGGTAGGTGAACATCAAGTCACTGGAAGATGTAGTTAGAGCCTATCTGAAGCTGGCTGAAGACAAGACTGAAGCAGCTAAAGGAGAGTCTCAGCAGATGGTGCTTGATATTGAAGATCTGGACAACATTCAAACTCCAGAAAGGTAGGTTCTGACAACATGGGTAAAATACATTCTTTAGCAATAAATCTTGCACTAACCTTAAAAGCTGGTCTTGTGGATATTGGCTGCAAGATTAAAGAAATGTAGTTAATAATTCTCAAATGCTTGGTTCCAGTGTACAGGATTTAATATTTACGAGGTTGGTTTAAATTTTCAAGTCTGTTCCCTCATTTCTTTTATAGATAAATGCTGCAAAATGGGTAATTCATTTAAGTATAGTGTTTGGTGTCCCCTGACCCCTGCTGGTAAGAATACATGTGTGCATATCAAGTGGGAAATTCCCTCTGGTTGAATATAATAATGATCCTTTCATTTGATATAGTGTCTTATCACATCTTTGAGATGCCTCAAAGCGCTTCACAGGATACACTGTAAAGTAGATTTAGGGTAGATTTAAACATTCCCTCCTCACCCACGCCTGAATAAAATTCTACTGTCAACCCTTCCCCACCCAAGATAAGGTGCCCACACAATCCATCAAACGCAGTCACTCATCTAAACTTTTTATACCTTCAAGTCTCCTTTTTATATACAGGGTGACAAAGAAGTCATAGTACCATTGCAATGTCTAATAATTTTTTAAAGAAATAAAATAAAGCTTGCTGATACTCCCTGTCTACAGGAAGACTGGTTATTTGGATGAAATACCAGAGGGCTTCCAACAAGAGAATACAGTTAGATAGCAGACAATTTTGGTTTTCAAGAAACAAACCACTTAATTAAGATAGTTTCTGTGAAATTCTTTGCAGTGTTTTGCTGAGTGCCGTGAGTGGCGAGGACACCCAAGATCGTACCGATCGTCTGCTCTTAACTCCGTGGGTCAAATTCCTTTGGGAGTCGTACAGGCAGTGTTTGGATCTGTTGCGTAACAACTCTAAAGTGGAACGCCTCTACCATGACATTGCCCAGCAAGGTATGTTTGTCTCAATCTCCATTACTCTGGTTTATCCCCCTCACCTTCCACCAGAGGTCACTGAATAGTGATCAGGGCAGAACGGAGACTGATTTGGGATTTTCCCAACTTGGGGTAAGGCCAAAGCAACTGCTATCTTGGCTGAGATCCACTGACTCACCACAAACTGGGATTCAAACATTCCAGTCTGTGTGGCGCAGTGCTCGGACTCTCCTATGATCAAAACGTTTAATTTCACTTTTTGGCCATCGATCGTTTGCTGGTATTTCTAGCGTTTAGGTTTTTATTTATTCCCGTCTCCATTCTGCAATGTCTGGCTTCAATACAATTGTGTAACTATTTTCTCGATGCACAACAACAGCATGACCTTCCCGTATCCTTGTGTGCCTGCTTTGCCTTATCTCCTCTCCACAATGTGCTCAATGTACTGGTTTGTGCAAAGGGCAATGTTACAACGCTGCCTCTCTCCGCCACCCCCCTCCCCAATTCTGGCATCACTACATTGCAATCTGGTGCTTTTTATGCAATAAATAAGGAAAGAAATTATATTGTTATATTTGAAAATGACACGAATGTCCTCGAATTGAATCCATTCAAATTTTCAAGGTTAAGATCGATAGATATTTGTTAGTAAGGGTACCGAGGGATATGGAGCTGAGGTGCAGATGAGGCATGGTCTAATACAAAAAGTCATGATAACTACCCCATTGTCTAAAAAAAAATCATAATTTCTTTAAGACTTAATAGACATTGTAACGGTGTCACAACTTTTTGGTCACCCTGTAGAATGGTGGACCAGGCTTGAGGGCTGAATGGCCTACTCCTGTTCCTATGAGTTCACTTGTGCTTCCTCCTTGTCTAGCCTTCAGGTTTTGCCTGCAGTACACTCGTAAGGCAGAGTTCCGCAAGCTGTGTGACAACCTGCGTATGCACCTGGGGCAGATCCAGCGTCACCATAACCAGAGCACGGCTATCAACCTGAATAATCCCGAGAGCCAGTCCATGCATCTGGAGACTCGATTGGTGCAGCTGGATAGTGCGATCAGTATGGAACTCTGGCAGGTAATAAAATCAATCAGACAAATGCTCTTGTCCATTTGCCAAGTAGCTTGTGTGCCCAATAAATTTTAAACTGAGGGTCCACAACTGGCTTGTCGCTTATTATTGCAGCAACGCTAAGGTACTGTACATTGAAAAATAATAGTTGGCCTCAGAACTTAATAGCACTCGCCTGTGGGCTTAATACCATGATTAGAACCTGGAGCTCCTCGTTGAGTTCACTGGTCTAGGGTTGCAATTGTAAAACTGTTGTGTACTAAATTTGAAAAGATCCCTTGATGTGGGAATTTGACTTCCTGTAAGACTGCTGAAATTACAAAAATTCTGGTCTAGATTTTTGTGTTGGATCATGATGGAAGTACATGCAGCTGAATTTCTCTCAACATTTATTTTGTAGGAAGCATTTAAAGCTGTAGAAGACATCCACGGGCTGTTCTCCTTGTCCAAGAAGCCTCCCAAGCCGCAGCTGATGGCTAACTACTACAATAAAGTCTCCACTGTTTTCTGGAAATCGGGAAATGCTCTCTTTCATGCGAGCACCCTTCACCGGCTGTACCACCTCTCCAGGGAGATGAGAAAGAATCTCTCCCCAGATGAGATGCAAAGGTGCAGAGAAATATTAATCATGCTGCTTTTGACAAAAAAAATGCCGTTTTCTTTGGGGTATAATCATACTTTGGGAAACCCACCTTTGCAGTGATCCAAAGGTGATTGTGCACTGATACTCTATGCCATAAAGTGGTAGGATGCAGATTCTCACCTGCAATTCACCACAAGGTGTGAGTTCCCATTGTCAGGGGGATTAATAACAGATGCTTTCCCAAGAAAGGTAGAGCGAGGACAAAATATAGTGATTTCACCCAGATTACTGTCACACACACGTTTGTTGATCTATTCCACATACTAAGCTTGTTCATCTTTTCGGAGGGAAATCACTATATCCTGGAGTAAGGACTAAAAAAAGAAAAGTAACAACAACTTGCAATTATATAGCACCCTTCATGCTGTGCAGTGTCTCGGAATGCTTAAAAGTATTAGCCGTTGTCAAATCTGAGTCACTTTCCTGCATTCTTAAATCTATACTCTGATATAACCCAATGCTATGGTATAGTCCACTTTTCATTGTGAATCTCTTTGCATCTCAGCTATTTTGTTCCTTAATCACAAGTATGTGATTCATAATTGCTGAACAAATTGCGTAGTTTGAAGAATATGCTTCAGGAGTCACTTTAACAGCGTGTGCGCGGCTTTTTGTGCTAGAACAGCAAAAAGGCCCGTACTTTATTTAGATGTATTCTGTTTTCATTCCTCTTGTGTGCAGGATGTCCACTCGAGTTCTTTTGGCTACGTTATCAATTCCCATCACTCCTGAAAGGACAGACATTGCCCGTTTGCTAGACATGGATGGCATTATTGTGGAGAAACACCGGCGGCTGGCTACACTGTTGGGCCTCCAGGCACCTCCAACTCGAAAGAGTCTGATGAAAGATATGGTAATGGTGTTTAATCTATATTCACAAATAGGTGATCAACACGGTCTAGGAACTAGGTTTAGCATTTTGGCTTCACATTTAATTGTCTGGCTGTAAAATTCTGAATGTTACAAAAGGATAGATCTACACAGTCACTGCTTTTCGTACTGCTGGTTACTTTAGTTCCCCAGAGTGGTACGAATTGATTGCCTTCAGAAATTCTAATGCAAATTGTGGGTGAGACTCTTTATTCCTGTAAGCGGATTTCACACACAACCTACTTTGCTCAACTGCAATTCAAAACGTTGGAAACACTGGGCTAATAACAGCAGTATGTCCTTTGGATCATGCATCCAAACGAGTTCCTTCTCGATTGGCAACATTTTAATTTTAGGCTTTGTCTTCTGGAAATACTGTATATCATTAAGTGGTTGGGGTGGGGGGGCTGGAATTACAAAGTTACACCATATGTTGGTCCCGCTCAGTTGAAGTCTAGTACTGTCAGAATCAGAATTCGCAAGAACTTAGATACCATCGCAGGATGGTGTACAGGTTTTGCATATTTTTATTTGGGTTCTATCCTTTTAGTCTGAGGGTACAAAGAAACATGAGGCGACACTTATGTCGTTTTGAGACTATTGAATGCTTGAAGTTCATATATTGTTGCAAAACAGTAAGATCGCTGACTGGAGTTCTGCATTTGAAATCAGTAACTTCAGCTAAGTTAGAAAGTACCTTGCCATTATTAGTTTTGACTTATCCTCGGATATTGTCTCAATCTTGCTTTATCCCCTTTTCTAATATCCATGGGGGGGACCCTTACTTAAGCTATGAACATTTTTTTTACACAATCGTTTGTCTGCCATTTTACTGTTGATTCGAACAAGGGTTTAAGTTTCAAATGTTCGCTTGAGATGTAGGCGTACGTGAGAATGCAGGTTTAGCCTGGTCACATTGTTCAGCACCATTCGCGAATGGCGCACTTCATTGTCTTGATCTCTGCTGTGGGATTCGAGATATTTCTTATGTGCCAGATTAAAAGTTGAAGGTTAATTAGGAGCGCAGCTGTTTCAAACGTAGTTACGGCTGCCAGTCATCTTCAGACAAAACTGTCACTTCAGGGATTCAAGTTTCTGGGCAGCGATTTTATAAAACCTACTGCTGACTTTTGAATTCCAGTTGTAAAGGTCATTGATACAAACATATTTAATGAATAATACTTACTTTGCTTCTCGTATTTGATGTAGCGTCTTATCACATGGCCTGGACAATGAATTCATCTCAAGGATTAATTTTTGTCCAACTTTAAAATGTTAAGACTAATTGAATTGTAGCTTTGGGATTAGCAAGGTGCTCGTCTGATGCAGAGATTTGAATATGAAATGGATCTTGTCTTGCAAATAATCTATACCAAGATGCTCAGGTAACCAAGGTCCTTTGGATTGGTTTCAACAAATCAATTAAAATTTGAAGCTCCTTGATCTCAAGTGCACGTGTGTCCTTGTGAAAAGATTTCAATTCTGGTGGATAATTACGGGTGTGTATTAAGTCTGTCCAGTGAGGTTACGGTTGTCTTACTAACACTGTCCACTCAGGATCTTTTGAATGGATCAGGAACTGTTTTTTTTCTTGAGGTGATATTGACATAACTCCTATTGATTTGTGTAGATCACAGCAGGCAGTATCCATCGGGGTTTACAGACAAAGAAACATAACTGTAGATTTTAGTAGTTCAGGTAAAACTACTTCTATGAAGGAGTTCCATTTTAGTGCTTTATTAACTTGTGGGCGATTGTGTGTCAGCATGGGTTTTGCTTCAGAGGAGTAGATAGGAAGAACATTTGCACCAGTCTCTTTCGGAGAAATAAAGCACATTGATAGGCTTTTATCCTTGTCTTATACTTTTTTATTTTGGATCAAACCAGGTGCGGTTCAATGTGATGCAGTGTGTGGTTCCTGAAGTGAAAGAGCTTTATAACTGGTTAGAAATTGAATTTCACCCACTCAAGCTTTGCGGACGGGTTACAAAGGTAAGATCATAACATTAATGGTATTTTGCTGCCAAATGTAACCTGTACAGTAGTTTGCCTTTATGTTGCAATTTTCACATCAGTGCGAGAGAGGGGGGAGATCTCAAAGCGTTTGAACCCAATATTTGTGTGACGAGGTTCATAAGCCGTGTGTTAGATGTAATTTGAAGGGGGCTAAGCATTTAATTCTTCATATATTGGGGTGTGGGGTTAAGGTAGGTTATTGTGAAACGATATCCTGCAGGATTTCTGTAACTGTCTGTGTTACTGTCTGTTCTGTATGACTGTCAGCCCATTTCATTATCTTGTTCTCTGCCTTTGTGAGAGCAGTGATATTTCTGATGGTGCTAGAGTAACACTGGAGGGTAATTAGCAGTGCGGCTGAGTATGTAGCCGTTGTTGTCAGTCTCCTTCAAACATTTGCATTAGTGGCGTTCATTGAAATGTTTCTGTGCAAAATGAAATGTTCTTTCATGTGTGTTTGATCGTTGGAAACTTTTGCTTGGTAAGTAACTGCTAGGAGATACTCTTTCGTTGTCAGGGCATTGTATTTATTCATGTGTCATTCCCTTTTTAAATCATTCTTGTATGAAATAAAAGGAATGCTGCATCCTTGCTGTTTCACAGTGGTTTTGCGTGTTCTTTCTCCAAGGTGCTGAATTGGATCCGCGACCAGTCGGAAAAGGAACCCGAGCTCCAGCATTATGTGCAACATCTGCAGAACAATACTATCCTGCGGCTCCTTCAACAGGTTTGTGACTTTATCAATAAGAAGCTGCAGAGGTTGAATTGTTTTCAGAGATTAGGATGAAGAAACGGCCAGCGTTCAAAATTTGTGTGCTTCTTAATGAATTTGGATCAGTTTAGATAAGGGAGCTTTGTTTTACGACCAAGCCAATTCACCAGATTAAATCATTCACCGTGTGGCTGTAGGATCTTGCTTGCAACAGTCTCTACACTTACGTTTATACAGCACTTTTCACATCAAATAAATAGCTGAATACTTTACAAACATCAAATTGATTAAAGGAGTGAATTTTGTTCCAGGCACTCGACACTAATTGTGATGCTCTTGAGTTTTCGATGTGATAAAGCACTTATATAAACAAATACGAGTTTTGTTTCTTGGTTCTTTCTAAAGTGGTTAATGGAAACATCAAAAAATGTACCTCCTTTTTGTTACTTGATGCATCTATCTCTATCTGCTGCTGGCAGTGCTTTCCAGTCAGTTAACCCAACAAGATATAATTAGTTCCTGTCCAAATTTCCCACAAGTAACCAGAGGGATCAAATTAATTAATTAATTAATTTATGCATGCAGTTTATTTATGCAGTTTATTCTTTTGTTCCTTGTGAGCAAAGTGAAAGTTCTTCTGTGCTGGAATAAAATTGGAGGTTGGTTGGTAACTGTGTGATATATAGCTGTGCGCAAAATGGCTGCAGCATTTCGACCACAAAATCCACTTTACAATATATTCAGTGAAGCGCTTTGAGACATCTCAACGACGTGATAAGGGGTTATATCAGAGGCAAGGATTATTGTTATGATATAGCTGTCTCCTGGCTGTGTCCATTTACAGAAATGTTGTTTTGAATTGTAGTGATTTATGGGCAAACTTGTCGCCTTCAATTTCAAAATTCACTCAATTTTCAATTTGAATGTGCTATACAACAACAAGTTCACATTTGTATAGCGCCTTTCACGTCAGGAGGACGTCCCAAGGTGTTGGAAATTGAGGTGGGGAGCACCAAACTTTACACAGTTTTCTTAATGGAATTGTCATGCGTTTTAACTTTCTGAATGAAAACTTCCAGTGTTACTTATGCATGTAGTCTGGACAATAATGCAGCTAATCTATTCCATTTTATCTTCCCTTTTTTCCCATTCCAGACACACATCCATTCACTGTAGTTTTTCTAACTATGTCACATTTAGCCTTTTTGTAATTTGTGCCAAGTCTCCAGATAAGGCAGAATGAGCTTTGCGAATTAAATGTAATTTCAATGTTTGTGGCAATTGTATTTGTGCAGGTGGCTCAGATTTATCAGAGCATCGAGTTCTCTCGTTTGGCTTCCCTGGTGCCTTTTATTGATCCTTTCCAGCTGGAACGATCTATTGTTGATGCCGCCAGGCACTGCGACTTGCAGGTAACGGGCAATAACTTGAGTTATCGATCTGTAGCAAGGTACTGTGCAGTGAAGCTTAACAACTCTTCTTTAGAATGTGTTGACAATACAAAATTACATTTGTATGACAAGTTTCACATTGGGAGGATGCCCCAAGGCGCTGGACAATTGCTCCGTTAGCAGAAAGTATTCACATAAAAAAGGTTCAAGGGCTGCATGTTAGAAATTTGTGGGGACTTAAATTGTTCGTTCACTGGACCTCTGATATTTGTTTTAATGTGTCTGCTCTTATAATAAAGCCGATTTTTAAAAAATTGGTCAATGGAGATAAGGAATTTCTTTAAGTGGAACACTCTGCATGTATTGGAACAAGTCGTGTTTGCACTCTAGTTTTGGGAACAAGATCAGAAAGTCAGTTAGAAACCTATGCCGCTGTAGTAGGCGTGCAGGAGAATGCCATCCAGTTTAATTATATTCTCCTCTGTTAAATATCTTCCAATAAATACATTATTGGAGTATGGCCAGACTGGGTTCTTATGACAGTTCTAATGTTTTATTTTAGAAATGATTGAAAAAGTAAACCTAGAACAATATTTCAGGACGCACAAGAACAGTAGAATAATAGGACATTAGTTTAGAATCACAAAGGGGGCAACTTCAGGATAGATACCAGGGAAGGTTTTCCTTACCCAGAGGGTAATTAATGACTGGATCAGGTTGCCAGGAAGAGTGGTTGAGGCCAGAACGCTAGACTCATTTTCAAAAGACAAAAAAATGATGCTGTGATGGGAAGATGGTAGGTGGTGGGTGTTCCGGAAGGATGGTATAAAATTCATTCACTGCGGTCAGGGTCCTCTTCGTCTGATTTAATCTTGTGATATCTTAGGTACCAGCATTCCGTATTGGTCCATATAATGTGACAAGGGATGTTTTAAAAAAATTCTACATTTTAGAAACTGTTTCTTGCGGTATTTGATCCTGCTTATGCTCACCTCCCTCTCCCCATGGCTAGGAGTCATACTCCGCCACTGTCAAGCACTCTGGGACACTACCCTGCCTAAAGGGCGCTATATAAATGCAAGCTGTTGCTGTATTGTGAAACATATTCTTTTGTGTTAGGTTCGCATCGACCATTCGTCGCACACTTTGAGCTTTGGCTCCGATCTGAACTATTCTCCAAAGGAAGACTCTCCAGTGGGACCTTATTTGCAGCCAATGCCATCCGAGCAGATCAGAAGCCAGCTCACTGCCATGTCTTCTGCTTTAGCCAAAGCCATACATATCGTGAAGCCAACTCACTTGCTTGTAAGTATTTCCCCTTTAACATTCCCAATCCGGTGCTCAGAATTAAGTTCAACACTTCAAAATGCGTATGGTTGATAATGACAATTCTAGCCTAAGCTACACATCAGCCTTGGAAAACATAATGTGAAATTGGAGCATCACATTTTGAGGATATGAGAGTAAATCTTGAGTTCTGCATCAGAGTTTCAATTTTGAGTGGTTGTGAGAGCATGTCTCACCAGATACTTAAGTGAAGCACATTTTTGTTTTGACCCACGCCTTTATCCTTAATGAGGGCAATGGTATACCTAATGTGCTAGAGTAAACCTGAAGGTCAATTAGCAGTGTGGCTATCTCTGTATCCATTGCTGCCAGTCCCCTTCAGATAAATGCATGTACGTACAAGGTCAGTTACTTTGTACGTACCAAAGTCACTTCTGTATTATTTTGGTTGGTGAATTGGGAGTAAGTTGATTGTAATACAATTTTTCGATGAGGTAACGGAGAGGGTGGATAAAGGTAGTGCAGTTGATGTAGTTTATATGGACTTTCAAAAGGCATTTGACAAAGTGCCACATGAAAGACTTGTAAGAAAGATAGAAGCCCATGGTATAAAAGGGACAGTGGCAGCATGGATCCAGAACTGGCTGGAAGACAGAAAGCAGAGAGTTGTGGTGAACGGCTGCTTTTCTGACTGGAGGGAAGTGTACAGTGGCGTCCCCCAGGGCTCGGTATTAGGACCACTGCTCTTCTTAATATACATAAATGATCTGGACTTGGGTATAACAAGTACCATTTCCAAGTTTGCGGACGACACAAAGTTAGGTGGGGTAGTAAACAGTGAGAAGGGTAGGAGCCAACTGCAGGAAGACATAGACAGAATGGTAAAATGGGCGACACATGGCAGATGAGTTTCAATGTAGAGAAATGCGAAGTAATGCATTTTGGTAGAAAGAATGAGGGGAGGCAATACAGGCTGGTAATACAATCTTAAGGGGTATAAAAGAACAGAGAGACCTGGGGTGCAGGTAAATGAATCCTTGAAGGTGGCAGGACAGGTAGATAAGCTGTAAAAAGGGCAAATGGGGTTCTAGGCTTTATAAATAGGGGCATAGAGTACAAGAGTCAGGAGGTTATGATTAACCTATATAAAACACTGGTTAGGCCTCAGTTAGAATACTGCACCCAGTTCTGGGCACCACACTATAGGAAGGATGTTAAGGCATTGGAAAGGGTGCAGAGGAGATTTACGAGGATGGTACCAGGAATGAGGGACCTTGATTATGAGGAAAGGCTGGAGAGGCGAGGATTATTCTCATTGGAGCAGAGAAGGTTACGAGGAGACCTAATAGCGGTCTTCAAAATCATGAGGGGATTTGATAGGTCAGAAACGGAAAAACTGTTTCCACTGGTGGGTGTGTCGGTGACTCGAGGTCACAGATTCAAAATAGTCTCTAAAAGAAGCAGAGGGGAGAGGTGAGAAGACATTTTTTTGTTGCAGCGAGTTGTTCGAATCTGGAACCCATTGCCTGAAAGAGTGGTCGAGGCCGATTCGATAACTACTTTTAAAAATGCGATGTACGGGTATTTGAGGAGGACGGATTTGCAGGGTTATGGGGAAAGGGCTGGGGAGTGGGATTGACATTGATTGCTCTTTTCAAAGAGTCGGCACAAACTCGATGGGCCGAATGGCCTCTTTTTGTGCTGTACAATTCTATGATTCTATGCATGAGTTTAAACCTATCCCGTTTTTTATTCCCCACCTTTTCTCACTGTCTATTTAACGTGTTAGACTGAAAAGGAGGAGCAGCATCAGGTGGCTGTCAGTAGTTACTTGAAGAACGCTAGGAAGGAGCATCAACGTATCCTGGCCCGGCGTCAGACCATCGAGGAGAGAAAGGAACGTCTGGAGAGCCTGAATGTCCAGCGAGAGAAAGAGGAGATGGAGCTGCGAGAGGCTGAACTTCAGAAAGTTCGCAAGGCCGAGGAGGAGCGTCTAAAGCAAGAAGCCCTGGAGCGGGAGAAAGAGCGCCTCCTGCAAGAGCATGAAAACATCAAGAGGAAGCACGTGCGAGAGCGGCTGGAGCAGATCAAGAAGACTGAGTTGGGAGCCAAGGCGTTTAAAGACATTGATATTGAGGTAAGATACCGCTGAGTGGATTGTGTATCTCGACTGTCTTTGCTGGGATCAACTGACTAAACTTGGGACCTGAAGTTGCAACCTTCTGGTTTGTATTGCTTGGTGTTGCATCGCTCAGGTGCTGCCTTTAACGACTGGGCCAGCGGAGAGCCATGTTGTTTATCAATTTCCCTTCTCTTTGGTTCTGCCACTCGTAAGCAAGCATGTTTCTTTGTCTGGGGGAAAAAAAGACTTTAATGAGTCAGCAGTTACTTGGAAGAACATCCAACTCCCCGAGTATCAATATTAAGTAAGCAGGACCAACTTTAAATAAATCACTGGCAATTTTTGTTTCACTCAGAAGATAATATTCCCGACTCTGCCAGATGCACCCTGCCTGCTGCCGGTCAGGTCAGGGGAATTGTGAGCATTTACCTGAACCACCTGTCGGGCCAGTAAAATGAACAATCTGATGCCTACAGAGAGAGAAAAACTATCTAGCCCTAGATTTGTCATGCTTAATAGCGTTTTGAGTAATGTAAGTTTAACAGCTCCTCTTTTTATAGGACCTTGAAGAACTGGATCCAGATGTCATCATGGCAAAACAGGTTGAGCAACTGGAGAAGGAAAAGAGGGAACTTCAGGAGCGTCTGAAAAATCAAGAAAAGAAGGTGAGTAGGAATATATATTTCAGGTATTTAAAGCGTGCTAGCCAATGAAAAGCAAATGCCCAGTAATCCTTCACCTCAAGTCTGAGGTACCCAGTTCATATCAGAGTCCTGTAGCTTAGTGGTTAGACCAGTTGCCTCGCAAGCAAGAGGACCTAGGTTCGTTTCCAGGGCAGGCAAAGGTTGGGCATGTTTCCTTACCTCCCCCACCCCTCTGTTTGCCTAGCAGTAAGTAGGAGCCCGGTTGTTAGCCGATTGGTGGATCGCTTTTCTCGGGTAATAATCCCTTCAAAAGTAGATAATAATATTTTGGTCACTTAATCCACAAATGTTTGTGGAACACTGCTGTGTGCAATTGGCTGCCGCATTTCCCCCAGAAAATATGCAGTCACTATACTTTACAGTATATTCTGTGAAGCGCTTTGAGATGTCTTGAAGATGTGGTAAGGCACTATATCAAGTGCAAGGATTATTATTATTAAACCCTGAGTTGTGGAGGAGGAAAGTCATTTTAAAAATTGATCGACGGCCAGAGTGACCGATGTGCTCTTGTTCCTGTTGATGTTTTACACAGGTGGACTTTTTTGAAAGAGCCAAAAGATTGGAAGAAATACCTTTACTAAAGAATGCTTTTGAAGAACAGCGGATAAAAGATATGGATCTGTGGGAAGTTCAGGAGGAAGAAAGGGTGAGTCATATCATTTGTCTCCACTCTTCTACCTACTGCATTCAGTATTGTCTGCTTTTAACTGATCTGGTATTTTGCTCTACTCAGTCTTGCAAAGAGATAATTTGCCTGTTGGATATGGTATTAGTTGTAATCTCTTTTTATTCACAGATCACCAATATGACAATTGAGCGTGAGAAGGCACTGGAGCACAAGAATAGGATGTCCAGAATGGTGGAGGATAAAGATATGTTCCTAGCCAAGCTAATGTCTTCACGGCGCACAATTTATGAGGTATTTTCTTTGGGTAGAACAATTTCAAAGCCGTTTCTTTGCAATGCGAATTCTTGATTAGATTTGCTGTCTTATTTAAAAAGTTCATAGAATTTTACAGCCCAGAAGGAGGCCATTCGGCCCTTCGTCTCTGTGCCGGTTGATTGAGAAAATACAATTCTACACAAAGAGGTAATTGAGAAGAAAGTTGAAAGCCAAAGGGAGTTCGTTCATGATCTAAAAAATGAACCTAATGACTAAATGGTTTAAATTTACAGAGAGCACTGATCTGGGCAGGTAATTGGAGTTCAGTGTCCGAAGAGGTAGACCGTATCTTACAAAAATAACTCGATGGAGAATGCAGCTCGACTGAGCCCTGGCAACTTGATTCTAAGTGTAATTAGGTGAAAATTAAAATAGGAGGCAGATTTACTCACATGTATTTTATAGAACTTGCCAAAGAAGCAGGTTGAAAAAGTAGGGGGAGTTGACTCGTCATTCACCAAACTGAGGCAGCAAACACTAAACAAACTGAGGGCTGGACTACAATTTCATAACTAATCCCCGTTACGTTCCCCCAGAGGCAGTGTCGAGGAGTGCTTTGAGGATTATCTCCAGTGTTAATGGGATGTGTTATGAGGAATGAATAGATGACCGCTTGCACTTGTATAGCACCTTTCATTTAAGATGTCTTTCATTCCTATGTTCAAGGTGTATTATCTCATAATGTAGCTTCCATTTGTAGCTTTATCTTCCATAGTACCAGCCATTCACTTAAACTGTCTTAATTTTTTTTGGATTAAAGGAGAAACTGAAGAACTTTCAAGACAAACTCAGTGAGGAACGGGCTCAGCGTCTGGAGGATCGCAAAAAAAGGCGTAAAGAGGAGAGACGTAAAGATTACTATATTCAGCAAGAGGAGGAGGCTGAGCGGCTGAAAGAGGAAAAGATCAGGAAAGGTACGAATGCTGAGACCGATTGACTTTCACAATAGATTAGTAAATGTCACGTATGTGAAATGTGCCGCGTGAGCGGATTCTCATCTCTAATAAGTTTTCTTTTTATGTAGAACGCGAAGAGAAGGATCGTGTTGAGCGTGAGAAGCGAGAGGCAGAAGAGCGCGAATACCAAGAGAAATTAAGGAAGTTGGAAGAAACTGAGAGGAAACGGCGCCAGCGAGAGATGGAAATCGAAGAGCGAGAGCGTCGCAAAGAGGAAGAGAGGAGAGCTGCTGACGACCAGACTCGCAGAAAGGTGGGTAGCGGCTACCTTATGGGCTTGACGGGTGGAGCTATTATCGGGGGACCTAAGCAATAAAGAAGCTGTTTTGCGGTGCTGTCCGCACACCTCTTTGTTAAAGGTACACTCCTTCAACTGCTCTGTTATCCCATTGTAGTTATGAAGTTATTCAAAATGACTGTCGCGTGAGAGATCCCAAAGTTTGACCCTGGATTTCAGTCATATTAATCATTGTTATAGAAACAGGAGTAGGCTGTTCAGCCCCTCGAGCCTGTCACGACATTTTATAAGATCGTGGCTGATCTGCACTTTTAAGTCCAGTTATCTGTTCTTGCTCCACATCCCTGAATACCCTTTGTGTCCCTTTATACAAAGATAATATCTTCAGTCATGCTGCATTCTAGCTAGAAGTAGAAACTCATCTCGATTACTAATTTGTATAGCCTAATGTGCTTTAGATATCTCACAATCGAGTTTTTCACACATATTACTATTGGCATATGCTTCCTAATGTTGAAACCACGTTTGATTCCAAATTGGCTAATTTGCCATTAATCCTTCAAGTTCAACTTTCTTTTAAAACTCTCACATATGGAACTTTTATCAGCTGACAGTAGATTCCTAATTAGTAATGTGTTTTGGTATCGAACTGATGGGAGCTTGGTTTAACGTTACACTGATGCAGTTTAAAACTTTTGGTCTGTATGTTTTCCACTTTGGAGAATCTCTGCATTGAAAAGATTCTCCCATTTTTAATGCGGAGGAGTTGTTTGCAAATGTGTGTGTGTTGCCAAACTACGACTCTGTTGATTGATCTTAACATTCACAATTGATGCAAAATGATTTGAATCTGCCACTTCATTGCTTCTGAACAGGAATCATCAATGCGCTGGTCTGACAGAGACACAGATCGAGATAGTGGCTGGAAGGACCGTGTTATAGAAAGGGATTCTGAGTGGAGACGTGGTGGAACCGATGGGTATGTGGTTGTTAAAGCCTCTCGTAAAAATGTGATCCTGAGCATTTTCACTGAGATTTTTTCTCTCTATGTGACTGTTCTCCTTTGTGCACTTCAGAGAGTGGCGCCGGGGAGAGAGTCGTGGCATGGATGACGAAAGGCCGGTGTTCCGCCGTTTGGAAGACAGGCCTCGGCGGGAAGAGGAGCGGGAGTCTTTATTCAGAAGAAGTGATGATGAGAGAGGGTCGACTTGGAGGGACGATGATCGAGAACGTCGACGTGGAGATGATTCCACAGCATGGAGACCACTGAGTAAACCTGGTATTTTGTTATCTGTCATCATTGAAAACATCTTTCACTTTTTTTATATATATATATATTATTATATATAATATATATTATATATTAAAATGTTGCAGGTGATTTTTTTTATAAGTCAACTGTTTAGAAAGTGCATTTCCCTATCCACTGTTGTGAATTTAGAAATATTTTCTGACTCTTAATTTTAACATCGTCAAAACTAAGAACCATTGTGTTTGGACAGAACTATAAGAGATTGCGTCACCAGTAGAGCACTGGCAGTCAATTTGACCTCCAGGTTGTTGGTTGCCCTTCAGATTTTATTTGCTTTCAAAACGAATATTTTGGTATCTATATATGATAATAATCCTTGCATTGGATATAACGTCTTATCACATCTTCGAGACGTCCCAAAACACTTTACAGAATATACTGTAAAGTGAATTGACTATATATTTTGTTGGTGAAACGTGGCAGCCAAATGTGCATAGCAGTCGTGGATTGAGTGACCGCTTTTCTTTTACTATACTAAGATAGATTTTGCAAATTTTCTATTTTAAGACAGAATGGTCTTAATGTTTCCTGCAGATGAATTTCCCAAGTGCACAAATCAGCTTTGTTATATAATGCTGTTTTAACAGAGATGGGGTTTCATAGAAAATAATCACCTTGCATTTCATATTCCATCTGCAACTTGCTATAGGCCAGTGGTGCTGTTTAGCTACTACTTCACGTGTAAAGAACAGCCAGAGCAGCATTTTAGACTTTTGTTTCTTAAAATTTCCCAGGCAGTGGATGGAGAGAGAGGGAAAAGGCCCGGGAGGAAAGCTGGGGTCCACCCAGAGATGCAAGGTCGTCAGAGGACCGGGACAGGGATCGCGATGTGGATCAGGAACGCCGTATGCCTCTGAGGTTTGTAGATGGAGCGGAGAATCCGTTTGCCTTCTTCACTACAGTGTTAATGCCACTCATCCTAATGATAATGATAAGTACACCTGGATCCAATTCAGACAGAAATGTTGACCTTTTTATAGATCGGTGTCCTTTTATAAGTGCAAATAGAGCATTGTTGTTGCATAACTTTCTCCATACCAAAGGTTGATGCCCGGGTGTGAAACTCATCTTTCCGAAAACACAATCTTGATCTTCTGCGCTTCACAGTGTTCCTACCAGTCAGTTGACCAGCAATCTAAAGTACACAAAATTGTTCACATCATATTAACTGGTGGCCAAGTCTGACCAGTCCAGAGTGAAGTATTTTTGTTCCAAATGTGTTTTGCTTCAATCATTTTGAGATTGTTTTGTTTTCCCTCTCCATTGGCACAGACTATTTTTATTAATTTTGTCCATCTATGATCATTAGTGCTTGTGATTGGTAATAATAATCCTTGCATTTGCTATAGCACATTATCATGTATTTGAGACGTCTCAAAATTATATTTCATAGAATACACTGTAAAGTGAATTGATTATATATTTGTGGCTGAAACACGGCATCCAATTGCCCACAAATAGCCATGGATTGAGTGACCAAATTACTATTATTATTTGTAGGGGTGATTACCCCGTGGAAAGCAATCCGCCAATCGACTAACAACCGGGTTCCTACTTACTGCTAAGTAAACAGGTGTGTGGAGTGAGGAAACCTGCCTAATTCATATTTTTTTAAGGGGTTATTTGACTCATTTCCTGTGAGCAGGTCATTGTCAAATCTAGATGGTGGAAGTGGAACATAAACTTGAAAACCCACTGAAATTACCTTGTATGTGTAATGGTCCGCACCTCCAGCTGTGTTGTGTTTGGCGAGCCTGACCTTGAAGATTTTCCGTCTATAGGGACAGGGAGGAGAGCCATTGGAGACGTGGGGGCGAAGATACCAATAGCTGGCGAGAGTCTGTTCCACGGCGTGATGAATGGGACGGTGAGAGAGATCGGAAAGAGATCCGCAGCGAGCGCAGAGATTTGAGGGATAGCAAGGATCTGCCAGAGCGCCGCATGACGCCGCTTAAAGCTGACCGGGACGATGGTTAGAGAATGCAACTTTGTGGAGCTTGTGATGTGTGTTTGTGTGTGTGTGCATGTAACGTATCTGCTGGTTTAACAGATTTACTTATGTTCAGCTGCTCCAGGCATCTGATCTGCTCCTAATGTGTGAACGAACGTCAAGTGGCCATGAAAGTCACCCGGACATCGAGCCCTTTTATCTCTCCTAGGCATTATGTAGAAATGTGATTGCTGCGATGATGTACCTCGGTCATCTTTCCCGCTCCCGCCGCCCTCGCTCCCACCCTCCACCCCCATCTCTGAGGCCCAGTCAGTGTCATGCGTATCAGGACATCCTCCTGACATGAAAGGCGCTATATGTAACATTGTATTGTACCTCAAACTAACTTTTAACCCCTGTGCATAACTGTAACACATTGCATTCTGTTACAGCCGTGTGGCGGCGTGCGGGTGATGACAGAAAAGACGAGCGGGAAGACAACGGGGTAAGAGATATTACCCGAAGAGCTCCACCACCAAATGAGGGCGACCGAGAGAGAGGAGGGGGAGCAGCCACCAGGGGAGCTGATAAGGAGAAAGATTCAGCCCGTCGTACCAATACCAATACCAACACCGAAACTGACGAAGACGGTTGGACCACTGTCCGCCGCTAAGTGTCTTTCAGCCCAGTTTACCTGGACCAATTAGCTGTATTCATTTTGAATCTGAATTTAAGAATTACAGTAACTTTATGGTAAATTCTTTGGAGATTTTGAAACTAACCAGTAAAGTTGATGTGTTTATTAAAATGTAAGCATGTACCTCTATATTAGTACAGCAAATTTAATACAAGCCGATCATGCAGCTGAAACGAAAGAAGCCTGCTAAACCGAACATCTGTTGCATGTCAAAGTCTTGCCTTCACGGCGCCAGCATTTCACTCGACAATCTAAAGTGTGACTGCTGCCTAGTTTAAACTTTCGGAATTTCCTAGTTCTATTAAATGAGCGAAGGCAACTGTGTTCAGAAAGGGGAATAAACATACCATCTGACAGAGCTGTAAACATGGATGCATATTGTGCATAATGTTAACTTGTGGGCTGAAATTGGGTCAAGTCGCCACTGTATACGGTCACCAATAAAGGTTTTTGTTATCTGACTCTGGTACATGTACTGCCAGTATGTCTATTGCCACCACAGATGTACATTGTGGATTATTGTGTGAAAGTATTTTTAAACCAATTGTCGCATACAGTACTCATTATTTAAACCTTTGCAGTTTGGAGTATCTTTGGTCAGGTTTAATTACCCCTCCTCCCTCCCCCAACCCCTTTCCTCATTTGGATCATCAAAATTAACTTGGACCTAATTTTCTTTCTGTCTTTAGAATAAAGGTTTTCTTTACCAAATCTATCTTTGTTGTAATAACTGTTGCATGCTACAGTACTGATCAGTGCAGTCAGTGCTACTGTTCCAGGCAAAGACAATGTCAAATAAAAGAAGTTACAAATTACCAGTCTGCATTTGTTTCTCTTCCTCCTCCACCCACTCGCTTCAACCCCTCCCCCCTTTTGAAAACTCATCTTAAAAGTTGAGGAACCCCCCCCTCACCACTCCATCATTGGTAGCCATGCCTTCAGCCACTATGCCGAAACTCTCCTTCAGTTCCTCCGCCTTATCCCCTCCCTCCCCACTTCAAATCCCAGCTAAAAAACTTTTTGATCGTGTTTACAGTCCTCTTCTCCCCCCCCCCCCCCCCCCCCCCGGCTCAGTGCGAGACTCTGGGATGCTATATAAATGCAAGTTGTTGAATATATAGGTTAACTGTCAAAGCTTTTGTTTGACGGTAGAGTTGGGTGGGTATTCTGTGACAAAATAATGGTGAAATCAAGTGGGCAGAAGTGCTTTCATCGGAACTGGGTGCAAACCCTCGACTATCCAGCACCTTGGGACATCCTCCCGACGTGAAAGCTATCTAAATGCAATTTGTTGTTGAAACTCAAATGAATTCGTTGAACTTTACTGAATCCAACTAAGATCCATTAAATAAGTTTACAGGTTTCCTTTTCGGAAAGAATGGGGAAGAGAAGGTTTATTCTTTGGGGGAAACTTGCCCTTAAATAACTTTTTATTTGCTTGAGATGATCATCTCAATTCCAATCTTTTATTACCTAGCACATCATTCTTCGAGCCAGCTCAGCCTCAAGGAGGCCCTATTTATTATTCCCCCACACCCAGGGGATAGTCACTAGTTGCTGCTCCTCAACAAGTGCAGGTTTGAGGATTCAATGCAGTCTTGTATGGCTTTACGTTGAAACCGCTTTGTCTTGCCCAACTTTTGTGCTGCCAGCAGAGGGAGCAGAAATATGTATTTGAATGGTCTGGATGTCCCTTGTCCTCTTCTCCACCATTCAGTCACTGTGCTCTGAATCTCGATCCCCTGCCTCTGTCTTGCCCCCCCGCCACTCCCTTTGCCCATCTTCAAATCACACCGAAAGGCTTACCTCTTCAACTGTCTTTGTTCACTTTCCAACATCCAACCATAAATGTTGTACTTGTTGATGTAGAAATCCGTACAGTACTGTGAATAATGGAATGTGTTGCCATTGAGTGCGTCCAGTTGCGGTGTTGTATGATTCAACACAGAATCAAGTTTGTTCTAGGTAATGGAATTACTGTGCGTTAAGCCCACAGGTGACTCCCCTCTATTGTATCAGTTAACTTCCATGCAGAAGGCATCGTTGAGTGAGGCTGATGTGATGATTAATGACATTCACAGCGAGAGGAACACACGCCAAATCTGTGCCTTGACCAAAAACTTTCATCTGGATCTGGCCAGTGGATCTCTCTCCTCACGCCCCAGTGACAGGAAGCACAGGAGCGCAATTAACAGGCTTGATTGTGGCAAGTGTCATTAGGACCAAATGCAACAAAAACTCATAGATTGGGGATTAATTACTTTTAGAATATTAAAAAAAGTTGTCAAGTGGAAATGGGTCAACTTAAAGTTCAATTGTACTGTGAATAAGGTTCTCAAAATGACCAATGTACTCCTGAACGGAGCCAGAGGTTGGGTGGGGAAGACTGCTACCCTTAGCTCAACTGAACCCAATCCTTAGATTAAGTAATAGTTCAGTTATTTCACAGTGAAGATTAATCTCGTAGAATAACTTCGGGTGACCCTTTTGTGATGTTAGGAGCCAGATGGAGTCCTGCAGCTCAGTGGTTCCTCACTCCTCAGTTTACCCAAAGGTAAGTGGAAACCCGGTTGTTAGGCGATTGACGGATCGCTTTTCTGGGGGTAATAATTCCTTCAAAAAAAAATTGGGTCAAAATTATTATTATTGCCTACAAATGCTCAAGGCGTTGTTCCAATTCAGGGTCATGTGCTATTTGAGCTGCGGTTTTCTGTTCAGATTTAGTGCTTCACTCCAGAGAGGCAAAAGAGACAGGTCTATGTTTTTCCCAAACAAAAAAAAACAGGTCGATATAAAAGATGTGGGAGGGAACCAGAATATTTTGCATTGGAGTCTGCAGATCTCTCGATGGCTGTGTTTCCCGACCGCATAAAATGTTACAGGGATGGTAGACCAGGAGGGGGAAAAAAGATCAGGGTCTAGGAGCTTTCCTTGAACAAACAATTCTCCCCCAATTCTCACCTTATCAGTAAATTAAAGCCTAACTTGGAGGAACGCATTGTCTTTTGATGACTGATTGATCGCAAGGATTTGCATGGCTCGTTTCCATTTTAAAACCAATAGCCTTTGGAAAGTGCGTGGAGTAGAAGCAATTAACGCATGTAAATGAGCTGGTAGGTTAGGTCCAGGTTTAAAACAAGGTTACAGTACAACCCATCGAATTTATCAGATAATAATAATAATGCTTGCATGTGATATAGTGCCTTATCACGTCGTCGAGACGTCTCAGAGCGCTTCACAGAATATACTGTAAAGTGCAGTGACTGGTGTGTTTTGCGGGCAGCCAATTGCACGCATCAGTGTCCCACAGTTGTGGATTGAGTGACCAAGTTATCGTTATGATTTTTGAAGGGATTATTACCCCTGAAAAAGCGATCCACCAATCGACTGACAAACCGGGTTCCTACTTACCGCTCGGTAAACAGGCGTCTGGATTAAGGAAATTTGCCCAGTGTTTCGCTCTGCCCGGGAATCGAACCCGGGTCCCCTCGCTTGCCAGGCGAGCGCTGCAGGACTCCACGTGGGGAGTGCCTTTGAGTGCAGCCTTTATCGGCGACGTTCAAACTCCCTTAAAAGTCACTTAAAGGCTTGAGCAATGAATGATAAGGCTCTTTGATGGTCCTCGTGGGAGTTAGTTACCATTGCCAACAGCTGCCGCGTTGAAGCCTGCAATCAATTCACTGTTTAACCACAGAAAGGCGCTCCGGCAGAGAACACAATTCACCATAAAGGGGGTTGGAGAGGGGGAAAACACACCATAAAATATGCTAAAACGTGAAAATTTATTGGGATTCTCTTCCCCCATTTCCCCCCCCCCCCAAAAAAAAAAAATCCTATGACTCATTATTATTATTATTATTAGTATTAACAATTTCATGGTATACATTTTACCTTAAAAATTCAAAAACCATTACATCATCTCTTAAAGCAAACAATCAAAAATACATTCTCATACAATATCACTGTCCTTAAAGTCGCTGTTTTTCTCTGAATTAATAATAATCAATAATCAAAATCGATGAACAAAACAATATATTCAGTTCCAATAAACTATGCCTCTCTCCCCCCCCCCCCCCCCCCCCCCCCCCCCACTCTCCCCCACACACTCACCCCTTCCTCCCTCCCTCCCTCCCTCTCTCTCTCTCTCCTCTTCTCTTTTAAACATCTCCCAAGATTATATAGAAACTTGAGGTAGATTCCCAGTGTGGAATTCCTTCCACCAGAAACGTTAGGAGATTTCTTTGTAAACAAATTCAGACCCCAAAAACAAAACAAAAACAACAACAAAAAAAGAGACACAGTGGGGGGGGGGGGGATGAGAAAAGGGTTACATTCAGTCACTATTAAAAGTGTTTATATCAGGACCTACAGTCATTCATTCAAAAAAAAAGGTCTGGATCATGTCCTGTTGTTTACACACAACACACACACACACACACACATGTCTTATCCATGAATCTGAGCTGCATTTTGTCTCTCTAATTCCTCTTCCCCCTTTCTCTCTCTCTCTCTCTCTCTCTTTCATTCGCATTTTCTCACTCATTCTCTCTTTCTCTCCCTCTCATTTTCTCATTCGTTTTCCTCCTCTTTTCTCTCTCCTCCTCCCCTTATTCTTCTATCCTCTGGTATTTTCCTCTCTCTCTCTCTCTCTCTCTCTCTCTCCTTCCCTGGTTTATCTCTTTCTCTTCTTTTTCATCTCTCCTTCCCTGGTTTTTTTTCTCTCTCTCTTTCTTTTTTCTCTCTCCTTTCCTGGTTCTCTTTCTCTTTCTTTTTCCTCTCTCCTTCCCTGGTTTTCTCTTTCTCTTCTTTTTCATCTCTCCTTCCCTGTTTTTCTCTCTCTCTCTCTTTCTTTCTCCTCTCTCCTTCCTGTATTTCTTTTTCTCTCTCTCATTCTTTCTCTTTCCTCTCTCCTTCCCTGTTTTTCTTCCTCTCTCTCTCATTCTTTTTTCTTTCTCGCTCTCTCATTCTCTCCCCCACCCCCCACCCCTCTCTCATTCCGTTTTCTCTCTCTCTCACATTCTTTCTTTCCTTCTTTCCTTCCTTCCTTCTTTCCTTCTTTCTCTCTCTCTTTCTTCCTCTTTTTCATTCCCTCTTTCTTCCTCTCCAATTTATTTTTTCTCTACCCCCCACCCTCCACCCAACTCTCCCTACCACACCCCCCCTCTCCTCTCCCACCCCCTTCCCCAACTCCCCCCCCCCCCCACCCTGACCCCCACCCCCCACTCTCTCCATCTCTCCCCCTCTCTCTAGCGGATTCTCTTGCTCACGCAGTTCCTGGTCCTCAGTTTGGGTGCGGGCTGGAGCTGGAGCTTGGAGAGTGGGCAGTACTTGATGGTGTGAGCGTTGTCGCCGTTGGCCCCGCACAGTGGGCAGGTGTAGCGCCTGAGGATGGGACACAAGACACGGCCGTCTGGGCTCTTGAGGATGTGGGTGGTGTAGAGGGTGATGGACTCATTATTGTTCCTGCAGAACACACAGATCTGGAGGTCGGCTCGGCCGCCTCTGCCTGTTCTCTGGTGGCCCCCGTTCGCTGCGTTGTTGTTGTTGTTGTTGCTGTTGGGGAGCAGGAGATGGTTTGGGTGGTGGTGGTGGTGGAGGTGGCTCCTGCCCTCCTCCATCATGATCAGGTCCACTCGGTTCCAGGTTGGGTGGTCGCGCTCCTCCAAGTGTGGTCCGAGCTCTCCACCGCTGTAGCCCACCGCCGAGAAGGGACTCAACTCAGAGAACCTCTCCTCCAAGTCCGAGCCCAACAGGTCCCCGTGATGGTGATGGGAGCAAAGCCCCAAATCGCTCAGGTCCAAGGAGCGGCCAATGCAAGGCGCCCCTCTTGGGTGTAATCTCAACCCTAACCCCGCCGGACCAGGGTGGTGCAAACCGCTCTTGCCCACCTCTCTGCCGCTGCCCCCATCGCTGGTGCTGTTGACCAGGGCTTTGCTGATCAGCGTCGACAGCCCCAAGTAGTCATTCCACGAGTTGAAGGTGTTCTTCTCGCCGTGTCTCTGGTGGAAGTAATCCAGGGGCGAGCTGTGCTCCTCCGGGCGGGGGGGGCTACGCGGGCGATGATGGTGATGGTGATGATGATGATGATGATGATTATTATCCACGGAATTGAAAGTTTCCATTGCTTATTGCTGAGCAAAAATGCAACGATTATTATTATTGTTAAAATCCTTTTGAGAATTAGATTTCTAGTAAAAAAACACAACCACACTTCCACCCCCCCCACCCCAAACCCCTTTTCTCTCCTCTCCTCTCCTCGCTCTCCTTCGACCAAGTCTTTGTCGTCGCAACCTTTTCTTTTGCGACCGGCTCCTTTCTTTTCATCCGGTTTCTCTCCCTCTCCCTCTCTCTCTCTCTCTCTCCGCCTTTCAAGACAAAATGTCACAAACCCAGGGGGAAAAAAAAAAATTCCAAGGGAGAAAAAGATGCAGGAAAAGTGTTGGTGGATGGCGGCGGGGGGGCGGGTGGGGGGGGGGGGCGTTGGGTGGGTGGGGGGTGGGTGGGTGGGTGGGGGGTTGGGGGTGGGGGGGGTGGGGGGGCGATGGCTATCTCTTGTGGTAAGAAAGACGATGGAGGCTCCGGGGTCCTTTCATCATCACCGCCACACTTCACACGAGAGCAGTCTTCCCCCCTCCTCCTCTCCTCACCACCATTGCTCTCTCTCTCTCTCTCTGAGCCCCTCTCAAGCCTTCTTTACACACAGCAGCTGTGCTCCCACGTTGCCCCGCCCCCCCCCACCGCTTGGCACCGCCCACTCCCCCCCGATTGGCTGTGCAGGCTGTCAATCGCCAACGGGGGCGGAGCTTACACCCCCCGCCCCCCATCCTCGTTCTGGTTGGCTGGCCGTCATTGGAAGGGGGCGGAGATTCACGCCCAGCCCTTGTTCTGGTTGGCTGTTCGGGCCGTCCGTCGTGAAAGGGGCGGAGTTGATTGCTTGCCCCGCCCACCTCCAGCCCTGGTTGGTTTCGGTGCTGTCAATCATCCGTCTTACCCCTCCCCCCCCTCCATTCCCCAGGGATTGCTGCTGTGCAGAGAGCTGTCACTCAAAGGAGGGATGAGAGAGTGGGGTTGACCCTGAGAGAGAATGGGTGGGTGAGGGTACGTGAGTCCGGTCATGTCATGTCATGTAATGTAATCAGCCGCCTTCCTCACTGCTTAATAATAATAATAATAATAATAATAATAATATAATAATAATCCTTGCATTTGATATAGCGCTTTTCACGTCGGGAGGACGTCCCAAAGCGCTTCACAGAACACACTGTAAAGTGAATTGACTGTATATATTTGTGGGCGAACGCGGCAGCCAATTGCGCACAGCAATGTCCCACAAACAGTCGTAGATTGAAAATGACCAATTTATTATTGTTTTTGGTTTTGGAGGGATTATTATTAGGCTCTGTGTGGAGTAAGGAAACTTGCCCAAGGTTTCGCCCTCTGCCTGGAATTGAACTCGGGTCTCTCGCTTGCAAAGCGAGTGCTCTAACCACTGAGCTACAGGACTCCACCTGAGGAGCTTCGCAGGCTCCTCATCCTCTGGTCACTTCTACTCTGCTTTGGAGCAACACCCAGACAGAGGCGAACCTACAATATTGTACTGGGCGGTGGGGGGAGAGGGGGAAATGTCTGTGGAGAGGAGACCAGGGCTGTATAGTGAACGTACTGAGGATAAATTGCCTGACGCAGTCGGTAGTACGCTTGTCTTTTTTGGGGCAATAAAGACCGTTGGGCTCAAGCCCCCATGTCAGAACTTTGAACTCATAATCCAGGCTGATACTCCAGTGCAGTTCTGGGTCACGGCTGCATTATTGGAGGTGCTGTTCTTCGGGTTACACTTCCGTCGGTTTGTCTAATACTACTACTAATAATCCTTGCATTTGATATAGCGCCTTATCATGCCTTCGAGACATCTCAAAGAATGTACTGTTAAGTGAATTGACTGCATATTTTGTGGGCAAAACATGGCAGCCAATTGCGCACAGCAGTGTCCCACGAACAGTCGTGGATTGATTGACTAAATTTTGTATTTTTATTTTTAATTTTGAAGGGATTATTACCCCCGGAAAAGCGATCCGCCAAACGACTTACTGCTAGATAAAGAAAGGCGTGTGGAGTAAGGAAACTTGCCCAACGATTCACCCTGCTGGGAATCGAAACCAGGTCCTCTCGCTTGCGTGGCGAGTGCTCTAACCGCTGAGCTAAAGGACTCCTGTTTAGGTGAAAGTTGAAGATCCCTTGACACTGCCTTGGCTCCAGGTGAATTCCTTGTTCGTCTAATAGCTGTTTGTGGGTTTCCTGATGTGTCAAGACACTTAGTTTCCCCCCCTCAAAAAAAACCCTGCAAAAAGCAAGCATGTCACATGGGAATAACATACCAGTTACTTGTGCGGTATTTTTACTGCAGCAAAATGATTGCTTCTCTTCTCCAGCATTCGATTCAGAAAATACCGAGAGCATTTTAATTATCACATTCAATGAAGCTGAACTGTTGAGTTTCTAATGTTGGGTTCACTGTTAATAAAGTTAAATGCATTTCATCTGCAGATCGCTGACAAGGTACAGCTGATAAATAACTCGTCTCATCGTGGACAGCTTGACCATGTTTCAAATCGTAGGGCGAAAATCCGCTGAAATTGCATAGACCCTGATCATCGAAGAGTTTAGCTTTGTCAGGAATCCGCTGTCTGTGAAAGATTGAATCTTCCTTGCAGAGGCGACATAGGGGGGTGGGGGGAGCCGTGCATGGATTCTCGGATCCAGCAGTGTAGAGCACATGGGTTCTGAATGCTCATTGCAAACTCCAAAATATCATGATCAAATACATTTTCCCGTATGAATTCTTGCAGTTGTCGCTTCCGCGTTTTTGGTCATTCAGCCCCTCAAGCTTGTTCCACCATCCTATAAGATCGTGGCTAATCTGTACCTCAAGACTAATTACCCGCCCCAACCCCATATCCCTCAATACCCTGACCGAACACATGTCTATCCACCTCAGTCTTGAAAATGTGAATGGATCCAGCATTAAATTAAAAATAGTTTGCCTAATTTGCACTGTGCCAGGTGCTCTCTGCAGTCACTTCCGAAGAGACGCAAGGTCAGAATTGTCGGACCGATTGCCACGTGAGGTTGAGGCCAGGAACAAAAGGAGTTCTGAAAATAGCCTGTCACAGTGGAGGTGGAGAGAAGTTAGCGGCACTGGTTTGCACAAAAGAAATTTGAATTTCGTTTGTTTTTTGCTGTGTTGGAAGTGTTCTGTGTGTAAGCTGAGATCGCTGAATTATGCACTTTACTCATCCCACAAAGGGATGCTTTTTTCCGTTGGGTCAGAATTGATTATTAACAATGTAATTAATGCATCCCTTTCACTGGGGCTTTAATGAGATAATTAAGGACACCTGCAGATCCCTCTTTGCACGAGCATCGTATAATTCATCCGTGTGCCCCGACAATCCCCCAGCTAAGATCGATCCCCCAGCTGTTCGTGGCACTTTGGCTGCCAGTTTCGCCTTCAAAATACACAGTCGCTACACCTGGACCCAATTGTTCAACCTGTGCTCGGCCAACCTGCAGCCTCTCCAGGTGAGATGACCAGTTCAGCATCGAGTTGAAATACTAGTGTTAGGACTTTGAATTCACAGGCGAGGTTGATGTAGTGCTGGGGGGAGCACTGTTGTGTTGGAGGAATTTCGGATGAGATGTTAAACTGAGGTCCCGTCTCTGCCTGTTCAGGTGGATGTTAGAGATCCCATGGCACTCACTATCCGATAAAAATATGTCAAAGGACATCATTAACCTTTTCAAATATCTGCTTTTAAGCAAGAAAGCTTCTAGGCCTACAACAATTGCAGACAGTTCTCCTGTTCTCAGTCTATTTCAAAATATAAATTATTGGTCTTGGCTATGAAACCGGCTGCCACTGGATTTGGTCATGTTATTCCTTCTCTCCATGCCCACTGCATCCATGTCTGCAGTCTCTCTTCCCAACCATGTCTGCAGTCTGTCTATGATTACAGTGGTGAGACATCACCTTGTTGACGAGTATCAACAAGATAATAATAATCCCTCCAAAAAAACCAAAAAACAATAATAAAAAAAAATTGGGTCATTTTCAATCTACGACTGTTTGTGGGACATTGCTGTGCGCAATTGGCTGCCACGTTCGCCCACAAATATACAGTCAATTCACTTTACAGTGTGTTCTGTGAAGCGCTTTGGGACGTCCTCCCGACGTGAAAAGCGCTATATCAAATGCAAGGATTATTATTATTATTATTATTATTATTATTAAAGAGCAGGGAGCGTCTCTCTCCAGGTGTACTCTCTCGACTACTCAAACGCCCTCCTCGCTGGTCTCCCCTGCTCCACTATTCCCCAAATTCAACTTATTCAAGACTCCGCGGCCTACACCACTACCTGCTGCCTCCGCTCGACTGGCTCCGACCTCCTCCTTGTCCCCCAGACCCTCCACCCCAACATCGACGGCCGTACGTTCAGCCACTACTCCCCGAAGCTGTGGAACTCTCTCCCTCAATCCCTCCGCCTCTCCCCCTCTCTCCCCATTTTCAGGTTGCGCTTGACTAGTTACCTCTCAGATGAAAACCCTTCCCAGGTTTCGCTCGCGAGACAGAATAGATTCCGTAAAGACTGTTTGTGAGCATCAATACCTTATTAGCTTTTCACTGCCGGGATCATTCTGCTTTGCATGCGTTGTTACATTTAAATTGGATACAGATTTGCACGAGATGTTGCAAAGGCAAATGCTGAAATGAACAGGTAGAGCGAGAGATATTCAGGAGAGAATTGTGAGCACAGTCATTGGCCATAGATTAATCCGAGCAATATTACATTTCAGTACAAAGCTTGCATTGTGGAGTCCTGCAGCTTCGTGGTTAGAGCACTCGCCTCGTAAGCGACAGGACCCGGGTTCGATTCCCGGGCAGGGCGAAACCTTAGGCAAGTTTCCTCGCTCCACACGCCTGTTTTCCCAGCTGTAAGTGGGAACCCACTTGTTGGTCGACTGGCGGATCGCTTTTCTGGGGGTAATAATCACTCCGAATTTTTTTAAAAGAAAATAATAATTTGGTCACTGTTTGTGGGACACCGCTGTGCGCATTTGGCTGCTGGGTTTCGCCCACCAAAACATACAGTCGATTCACTTTACAGTATATTCTGTGAAGCGCTTTTCACGTCTTCTCGACGTCTCAAAGCGCTTCACAGAATAGACTGTAAAGTGAATTGACCGTAT